TTTCCTGCATTCCACTGAAACTGCTCCTGCCAAGGTTGCTGGTGGTTTAGCGCTGAGCACCGTGAGCACCGTCTTAATCACCTAGCACTATCAACCACTCCCTCCTCTTTAAAATTCTCCACCTTTGGATCATCTGATATTCAATCTTAATTTTCACTTAATCTTAATTTTCCATCGACTTTTCTGGTTTCTCTTCGGTCCTCTTTGCAGTCTCCTTTTTCATTAACTGTTGATTTTCCCTGTATTTCACCATAGGTCCACTCCTCACTCTCCTTTGGCCCTCTCCACCTTCATACAGTATCTGAGGGCAATCCAACCTGGATTCCTTCCTCAGAGGTTTGGATTCAGCTGCTTACTAGAAGTCCCACTTGGATTTCCCACAGTTGACCAAATTCAACATGAAATTTAAGCATGAAATCATCTCTCCCCATACCCCAGGCCCAACTTCTACCAATTCTGCCAAACTGGTTCCTTCTTAAATAACAAATACCTTGAGGAACAAAATCACAGTTTCTACAAAAACCTGAGTGTCTTTTTGGACTCCTCTTTTTCTGTTCATTCTCACAGTCAGCTACAAGTTCAGTTTCAGACTACTTTACCAGTAGCTTTCAAATGTGTTCCTTACTCTCCATCACTTTCAGACTGAACTGTGACCACAGCATCCCCATTTGGCTCCCTGCTTCCATTCAATGCTTCTGAAATCCACTGAAGGCCCTGCAGCTGTACTGATCTTTCTATAGCACCAGCAAGATGGTTTTGTTCTCTTATATGCAAGTATTCAGTGGTTCTCTTGATAAAATATGAACTCTTAAGCTTTGTAAACAAAGGTCTTCATGGCACCTCCCATGCCCAGCTGCCCAACCTCTTCTCTCTGCCATGCTCCAGCTATACAGAATCCCCTCTCTCTCTTTCTTTCTCTTTCTCACTTTGCCTCTCTTTTAAGTTTCCATTTCCCTGCACCCCTGCTCTTCCCAACCCCAGCCCAATGCCATGACCATTTCTACCAGAACTTTCTTATGTGTATAGTTTCACTTTTCAATTGAGGCTGCCTTTAGTTAATGTTTAATGAGCCAAGAAAAGAAGCACCTTAACTGTGAAATCAGGGTGAGGAGCAAAGATCTACACGCCAGTCTGCTAACACAGCATTCAGGAAATGGGTTTGGGATTGAAGCTGATTAACTGTTCTTTCCTAGTTGCCTAAATCTCTCAGGTGTCTCTCCACTGGTCTAAGTTATTCAAAGGTTTACTCTAATCCCCCTAAGACACATATCATATTGTGATGTTTCCATAAAATCCCTATATCAAGACTGATCAGGGCGGGCATCATAATTGCCATTTTATAGACAGATGTTAAGGAAGTTTGTTTAATTGTGGCTAGTCATGGAACTGAGGCAAGAACTGAGACGCCCTGGTTCTTAAATGAGTATTTGAGTTTCTCTCACTGTCTCTACAATATATCCTAGACTGAAGAGCTTAAAGATTGAAAGCTTAAATCTCCAAAGTAGGAGGCAGGGAAAGAAATCTGAGGGATCCACCCCATGGGCTCATAGTACCCGATCAGTGTCTCACACATTCAGCCTGTAATTCACTACCAAAGCAATCACACTGCCCATCAATTAGTCATTGTTTCTCTCCCTGGGGAGACTTTTTCTTTCCAGCCTCTACAAACCAAAGGCAAGCACCTCTTCCACAGCTCCTTAATCCTCTTGGGGAAGCAGGTTCAGCACCTGGAGCTCAGGAGGTTCAGGACCTCTGGGGACACCCCAGGCACCTTCCTGCCATTGGAACTATGGCCGTCCAGGCAGAGGGTAGGAGTGGGGATTCCTGAAGGTAGAAATTCTCCCCTGCTTAGAAACCCTCCCTAATTAAAGCTACTTTCCTGTATCAAACAAAACTTTAGAATAACTGAAATCCTACTTATTATTCAAAAACCTTAATGATTTTATGGATAACAATCTCCCTCTCTGCCCAGACATGTCCGCCTCTCTCCTAATCCGTCTCACCTTCAGCTAGCCACCAGAGAGATTCCATCTGTTTATCCTTTCCTTTGTTTCTCTCAGTAAGAGGAGCATCTCACACAAGACCCTTTCCACCTCCCCCACCCACACACACACACTCACATCTCTCCTCTCCAGTCAGCCTGTGCCTCCGTGCGCTACTTCATCCCCACTCCTCACTGTGGAAAGGGAAGGAAAATCAGGTCCAGAGAAAAAAGTACAGGTTGTCCAGGTCACTAAGTGGAGACGGAGACAGGGACATTTACAAGAAGAAAGGGACATTGTTTACTCAAAGAACCAGGTGCCTGGGGAAACGTACTCACCTCATAGCCGTATTTTTTTATCTGCAGTGTCTGTCCTTCAGTGGTTCTTGAGGAGCTCTGAGCAAAGGTGACGGGGCCGACGTAGCCAGCTTCTGCCTGGATTGATTTATTGCCCTATAAAGTTGATGGCAATTGGAGGAGAGGAGGGCATTTCCCAAAAGACCATTAAAGGGCCCTTATTTTCCTTGCGACATGGGGAAAGCTCCATTTGTTACTATAAGGGGAAGGCGGGGCTTTTTCCCAATACTTGTGCCTTCTCTGTGTCCCTGTTCATATCCGATTACTTTGCTGGTCACACTCCATTACCCTTGCCTGTCTGTCCATGTAACCTGAAGAGCTCAGGGGCCTTACCCACCTCCTCCACTGCTGCATCTCCTGCGCTTAGCACTCTGCCCAACATCCACGGGTATCCTAAAATATACAGCTCTTTGTTGAATAAGTAAGTGAAAGAATGAATAACACTCGGTCCATCATGTCATTCGTTTCTCCATTTTACTTCCCCAAATTCTCTTGGTATAACTTAGCTTTTCACTAATTCACATAAGCCTCCCCACCAATTATTCTAAATAAGAGAAACACCACTAATATGGAAATTATATTATCTTAAAGAGGGAAGACATCTCTATTGGATAATTGTCACACCCTCTGACTGCTAAGCACCTTTAAAAAACTCATCTAATACTTAAAGAACTTCCCACCTTGAGAATTCTGCTTCCCCAAGGAAGAGGCTAGAAAGTCTCTGTCTCCCTCTCAGCCAAGGTGGAGGCAAGGAGCCTGGGTGTCAGTGAGATCCGCCTGTGATCCAGAAGAAAGTGGAGAGAAGGGGAAAGTGCCACGTGGAATCCAGGATGGCGGAGAGATCATTTCAGAGGCAGCAGGAACAGGGGACCTAGGAGCAGCCTATGTTCAGTATTGGGGTGCATGCTGCCAGACGTGTGCTAAGGGAAGTGGCAACAGGGTACCCCCCGGGTAATCATGCTCTTGCCCCCGGCCACGTAGCTTACAGACTTGATACTGTAGCCCTTCTGGAGCATGAATGAGTCACTAATACCTTAAATTTTCTTTTCTTCTTAAGCTAGATAAAGTGCTTTTTTAAAATTAAAATATAATTTGCATACCATGACATTCATCCTTTCAAAGTGTACATTCAGCGGTTTTCAGTACATTCACAAAGCTGTGCGGTCATCACCACTATCTAATTCCAGAACATCTGCATCACCCCCAAGAGAAGCCACATACTCATCAGTGGTCACCCCCGACCTCGCACCACTGAGCTACTTTCTGTGCTTATGGACTTGCCTGTTGTGAGTATTTTATACAAACGGATCACACAGTGAGCAGCCATTTGTGTGGCTTCTTTCACTTAGCGTAATGTTCAAAGTGTACTCCTATTGTTGCAGGGATCAGGGATCAGCACTTTATCCCTTTTTATGGCTGGGTGAGATCCACTGTACTGATACGTTCTGTTTATCCACTCCTCAGTTGATGTACATTTGGGTTGTTTCTACTTTTTGGCTATTATGAGCAATGCTGCTGTGAACACACATGTACAAGTTTCTGCGTGGACATATGTTTTCAATCCTCTCGGGGACATACTTAGGAGTGAAATTTCTGGGTCCTATGGTAACTTTTTGAAGAACTGCAGAATTGTTTTCCAAAGTAATGGCAACACTTTACCTTCCTACCAGCAACATATGAGGGTATATGGTGCACACAGGTGCATACAGGATATCGCATCTTCTGTGTGTAGCAGCATGTGAAGGTGTGACATCTTTTGATGACGTCTAAGTAGAACAGTTCCCACAGGAGTACATGTTTGCTTCAAATGCTCAGTGCATGGCAAGTACACAAACACACACACAGAAACTTGGTTTCTGCCTCTGTAAACTCCTGGAATGACAAACACACCTTATCTTTTGCTCTGGTACAAGAGAGCCTTTGTTAGAGGGAAAAATTTACCTGATCTCATTTCAGACTGGGACAGTATCTTGGCAAAAGATCAAGAAAGGAGATTTATGCTTACACAAGATCCTTCTATTCTTCGTGTGATACTTTACTATTAACTCCCCACATCCCGTGCCCACTTGTGACACCAGGCACATGACAGTCCTAAGTCACGATCCCAGCTATAAACTGTTTCCTAAAGCTTTGCCATTCCTTCTTGCTAACTAGCAACTGGAAGATATTAGGTCACGTGCTTGTGTTGACCCATGAAAAAGAACCAGAGACATTTTGAAGGGACGAGACAAGCATGTGAGCCCTTATCTTCCTGTTGTTTATTAGTAAGAAGGCACAGCGAACTTAGCTATTGACAGAACTCGTAGGAGTGATCAAAGCAAGCAGCTGGTTGGGATCATCAGGTCAGAAACCAACAAAATGTATGACCCTTAACTTTCAGAGCACCATCCTCCAAGGCCAGATGCACAACTCAGTGCCGTTGCTGCAGTGACAAAGAGGGGATGTTGGTGTCCCCCAGCCCGTATCTGCCCAACACAACCAACACAACTTTGTCTTTGTAGGTATCTATGACAATGAGTGTTATAACAAGGATGCTTTTAAATAAGAAAAGGAATGAATTTCTTCTCCTTTATGTGAAAATGTTTGGGATTGTTATTTTTTCATTTTGGCCTACCTATGAAAAGATAAAATAAAATTACGTGATCTGGAGAAGAGAGAATACATCAAAAAGACCCCAAGTGTTCCCCGCAGAGCTGGCTGGCAGTGACAAGAGCAGGTCTATGTTTTGGGAGCTGCTCCAGGGTAACCAAAGATGGATACGGTTCCATGTGTAGTGGTCCTCAAAGTGTGGGCTGGGGATCAACCTCTGGGGAGGAGGGGTGTCCTTGTGACTTTTTAGGAAGTTAGTAAGGTAAAACTATTTCATAAAAATACTTAGATGCTATTTGCCTTTCTTGCTCTCTCATAAGCACACTGTGGAGTTTTCCAGAGTCTACATAATGTGATAGCACAAATGACTGAATGTAGAAGCAGATGTGAGAATTCCTTTTTTTTTTCCTATTAAGCCAGATTTTAAAGAGATCCATAAAAACGCAAAATAATGCAACTCTTCTGATTAAATGTTTTTGTTTTGGAAGATACAGTTACTTTAATTTATAACATGGTAAATATTAATAGCTGTAATTTCATGAACAAAAGCTCTTGGAATCCTCAACAATTTTTAAGAGTATAAAGAGGTGCTGGGACCCAAACATGTGAGGACTACTGATCTGGTGTATTGATTTTCAAACTTTTTACATATACAGGATATATGTGATGTACATGAGGATGTATATATGCATATGTTCCACCTGAATAAGCAATTTTAAGTATATATAGCACATAATATATATATGAATATATATATATTTAAAATTCTTTGTTCAACTAGAATTCCAGTATGTACATAAATGAATGACTGAAGACAGGGTTGGGAGCTCAGAACCCTGCCAATCTGCCTCCTCCACACTCTTCGTGGGCAACGAAGAACCCAGGGCTCTTCATGTTCCATAGTTTGGAAATCACAGCTTTAGTCTGATACTAGCATTTTGCCGATAAGGAAACATGATCCCAGAGAGATAAAGTGACTTAACCAAGTCTCCTGACCCTACAGATCGCTTCTGAGTTTTTCTCACTCAAAGGAAAGCAGCACAAAATGCCTCAACCAGCAGACCTGACACCTGTGATGGAGCGAGGCCAGATCAGCCTTATACTTCAAAACAGACAGCTCTGCTCCAGAGAGAGAAACCAAGGGGGCCACAGACCCACCTCCTCCACTGACCTGTTACCCAGAGCTGCTCAGAATCTTTCTGGTTCTACACTTGACGTCTTCATATCCATACAGAACTGCCTGCTTAAGGGCCAAAAGGATGAATGAATTCCAGCGAAGGTGACAGACCAAGGCTTGGGAACCCTTGTAACTGTTCCAGCTACATAGGGTCTGAGTCACTAAACTGAAGTCTGGGAAGCTGACACGGATTAACCTAGGGGTTCGTGAACCAGGGTCCCCAGAACAGAGTAAGTTTAGTGGCGCATGTGAGTTTTCCAAAAACAGAATCACAGATATTTTCACGTTACATTAAGGAACTGTAGTAGATATCACAAGATATTGTTTCTGCTACTCATCGCATTGAAGTTAGGACATTATTAGTTCTATGTGCTAGATATTGTTATTTAATGTGATAATTAAAAAAAACCCTCAAGTATTACTATATTAAATTTTAAAAATACACACGTAAGTGTATTTTAATATCATAGGATTCCTTTAAAATAGTATGCATTATTTTATGCATTTAAGAACATCATTCTTAGAAGGGGTTCCGTCGGTACCACTAGACTGTCAACAGGGCCCTTGACACTGCAGATGTTGTAAACCTTTACGTGCCTCACTCAGAGACTTGGCAATCAGGAGTCCCTCATCAGAAACCTTCTCCTTGAGCACTCTATATTCTGTGCAGCCAGAGCCAATGGCCACCAACATGTCCTTGATGACAACAGAAGGTATTTCTCAAATAACAAGTAAATAATTCTTTCCTATGGTAGCCTGCCTGGGTTAATGAAAGGGTAGCTGACAAGTTTCCCATCTTTTTGATCGAGGGATTCCTGTGATTTTTTTTCCCCCATATTTCACTCATTGCCTAATTAGCTCAAGCCCTCATCCAAAAGCCTCTTATTTTGATAATTAGAACACTAAGCCAATGTAACAATACTATTTTCCGGTAGCCTTATGGAGGCACTGACATATGAGTACACAAGTAGAATCTGGCTTCCTGGTGTCAAAAAAAAGGGGGTGCCAGGGGATAAATTAGGAGTATGGGGTTAACAGACACACATTACTGCATAACACAGGGGAAATATTCAATATCTTATAATAGCCTATAATAGGAAATAATCTGAAAAAAACCGAATCACTTTGCTGTATACATGAAACTAACACAATATTGTAAATCAATTACACTTCAATTTAAAAAAAAGAGGAAAAGAAAGAAAAAGAGGGAAGTAAACACATTCGTCTCTCATATACTCATTTTCAAGTAATACTAAAAGTAATTATCCCTGTTGAATATGAGTATACGATGCCCTTATCCCAATTTTTAACCATCTAGTGTTTTAACCAATAGTGCTGCAAATTCAACTTTTGTCAGAGTTGGTATCTTACCAAATATAATAACTTATATGATTAAAACAACAACAGTTCAAGGACACTCTCCCATGAACCTAAATCTTAACACAAATCCATGGCAGAGGCATAAGGAAAAGGGTGGGTAACCATAAATCTGATTATTCCATTGCTGGATTAGCCTGCGGGAACTCTGATGCCAAAGAGAACAAGACCAGTTCACAAGGGTTTGCCGAGTAAGAAATCTTAATGCTGAAATGAGATTACCCATGGTCAAATTACCACAAAATTCAACACCTTGTTAATCTGCTTGGTTTATTTTTCTTTGGCATATAAGTCGCATGCATCGTGTGAACTGTGGTTCTATACATTAGGCAGAGTAGAGAAATAAGATTTACACATTTCAAAGCACACCCTGGCAAAAATAAGTTATTGTTTACATTCAATCTCCTTCCTTCAGCTTTGCCCTCTTCAATCTCATCCCCAGCCCTATTCCCACAAGCTAAGGAGTTCCCCCAACCCCTCCTCCTGCTTTCAGATTGGTTGGCTCTTCCCTTCTCCTTCCCATGAGGCGACTAGTCCTAATATTTTTATGTTATCTTCTTATTTGTCATCATCACCTTCATCCCCATCATCTTTCCTGCTTACCTTCCCTGAATTTGCCTTTCTTTCCCCTTGTATCATGCTTTCAGCATATTATTCTGCCTCCCCATAACCACAGGGACCAGATGTTCTTCCTGGATGCTTTCTTGAGGTGTTAGTTGGCTCTAGGACCTGAACTGTCCTGGCAAGCTTCAGCTTGTGGGGCCATTCCCTAATTACACACATACACACGCACACATACTTCATCATAGACCTGGTTCATCTTCAGTCCATGTTGTATGATGAGCCATCCAAACCATGCCAGTCACATAGAGACATTATGGTAACCCACAGTCGTCCACACCTCCCTACTGCCTATACCAGAGGGCTAAAACACAGGCAGAACATAAAACAAAATTAACAAAACACTTCACCCATACTGGGTATAAACTAATTAGCAACACATAATAATTTTATGAGCATGAAGTATGAGTAGTTTCAAAGCTATTCATGGTTAGGGTCCTGCTCTAGGAACTCAGAGGGCTTCTCCATGTCAAGGAGGTGAAATTATGCAGGCTGATGTTTCTGCTGGTCACATCAATGTTTAACACCTGTTGGGAACCAAAGAAAAAGTATCGGGCATCTGGTGATTGAAGTTTCCTGCACTCAAACAAATCAGATATAAGCCAATGGTCCACATAACACTCTTGACACTTTCACAAGTCATTACCTAGCTTCCAGAGTACCCTCAGATTTTTCAGGTGAGAAGGGATTTTCTCAACCCCTTAGAGTACAAAAAGCATTCAGTGATAGGGAAAAGATGACAGGACCCTAAATAATGAAATAGGCAACGACTGCAGAGAATCGACGGCACAGACAAATTGGAGAAAATGTCCTCATTTCCACCCCCCCCCCTATTTCCTGGCTTCTTCTCCTATCCCCTGTAGTGCCTTGATGACTGCACAGAGAGAGTCTGACAGCTCAGCTTTTTTCCTAGGCAAATACTTTCCATGAAGTTTCACCACGTGGACTAGTTGGCTTGGGTATCTGCAACAATATGGGCGGAGCCTTTATAAGCTCTTTGGAGAGCTGGGGAAGTTGGTTGACAAGAAAACCTCAAACATGAGAAAATGAAAAATACGAAGCTGAAGGAAAACTTTTGTTTCAGGCCTTGTGATCAGGAAGGATTCTGAAAGAAAAATAGTTCAGGAAAAAGGAAGAGGTAAGCACACGAGGAAAGGCCCACTTACCATGAGGGCAGGTGTTGGAAGCACTACACTGCATCAGTCCCAAGGTGCAGATCTTTTGCACATTTAACATTCATCTAATCAGACTGTGTTTTGCAGTCAACAGCCCTGGAACGACTGTGAACCAAGCAGCACTCCTGACAATGTTTGTGCCTGTGTCAACTCCACTGCTGTTACTGGTGTTATGAATGGATGGACTGCAACCACTTGAGAATTATTTTAGAAAGGAGTATAAATCCTGGTTGATAGTAAAACCAAGAAAATGCTCCAATGGAAACTTGTATAAAGCATGTTAGTGGCTTTGGAGAAAATCCCATAGACAGAAGTGAAAGAATTTTTATGAAATGATGTATCAGCAATGCCTCTGAGGGTAGAGAGGAAATACCTAAACCAGTTCATACCATATAGATTTTCTTTTAATTTACAATAATAAAATTTAAAAAACCATTTAAAGTACTTACATAGAAATTTGAGTAATAAAAGAAAAATTCATGGTACAAATTGGTCAAGGTATTTCTAACATTTTTTCACATTCAGTTTACCTCTTCTAATTTACTTTGATGTGGATTTATCAACGTCCATGGATCTCCCCTCAATATCTTCCTCTGCAGTATCACTAACAAATTTAAATGATAAAAGTCCACTTAAAGAAATTTTGTAAAACTTTCTATATTTTTTTAGATGGACGTTTTAAGGGACAGAAAAGCACCACATCATAATTTGTAATCCTTTTTTTTCTTCCTCTGTGGCTTATGAAGTGATGGAGCAACTTTCCACTGATGGTGTCTTTTACTGATGAAAGAGGGCAGTTCAAGCTGTTTGGGAAGAAGATCTCTGAGGCGGGGGTAAAGGCAAAGCGGTACACAGGTTTGCAGACAAGTAGACGTTCACGACAAGGAAGGACGCAGACCATTCATTCCAAACGACGGCCCATCAGGAAGCCTCCGTTCACCTTCCTGCTGTCCACCCTGACACACTGAACCCACAGGGGCTCCAGAGGGGCTTTGCAGGAGAGCGTGTCACTCGGAAGGAAAGCAGGCAGGGATTGCACCAGGGTCTCAGGGCTGGAAAACGCCATTTGGACTTCTCACTGGTCACAAACCTGTGTTGTAGAGTTGTAGGTGAAGCTGGGGGTCACAACCACGCCGCTCACAGAAATGCTGACACTGGAAATGGAGTTGCTGCCCACTCCCCAGATTTCAACGTAGCCCAGTTTCAAAGGGTTTGTATCGCTGATGTATTTGTTGAAAATTACATGGCTCTGCATCGTATTCTGTCAGTTGGAGACAAAAGAAACCACCGGGGGGAAACAATTGTGTGATTTTAGGCCCAAATCTAGATCATGAAGTAAGATGGCTTTAGAGTCACCACCTCGTATGCTTGGATAGTGACATCATGATTTCAGCATTCTATCCCCCGTTGCCGACTACCACCCAACTGTGCATTGTTTAAGCAGCAACAGGGTCCCCAGGATCACCCTGACTCTAAGGAGGCAAAGAACTTCAGCTCTCAGGAACCTTACATTCTACACGCGGAGAAGTCACAAAATGTGCAGACCGTTCCAAGGCATCTTAAGAATGAGGGCTGGATAACATAGAAATAGTCTTTCCATGTGTGCTTTGGTGAACTGGAATAAGTTACTGATGAAATACGAATGAATTTAATCACAGAAAGCTTCCTGGGAGCACATTATGTCTCTAACAGAAGTCTAGAGGAGGGGAAGGATGCAAATCAGCAAGATGAACAGTGAAGGAATTCTAGCAGGTAATTTACGCCCTATGGCTTCCAGCATCCTACGAAGCCAGAACTCCATTCCCCCTTCACAGTATCAGTCACATACTCACCTGGCTGACAGAAAAGTTGGCCAGGTAATAGAGTCCTTTTTCATAGGTATCTGCAAACAGACAACAAAGCAAGCATGAGACGGAGCTATGCTCTAGAGTTCTCATTGCTTCCTCGGCTGAGGAAGTAGGGATGATTTTTGTTATTTTGTTTCTCTTCTTCACAGAGTTCCACGTTGTGAGAGGAGTCAGTTTATACAAATGTTTGAAATGGGCGTATACAGATGCCTCTGAAGAACAGCGTCACCTTCTATGATGCAGTTTTCTGACACTGCTCTTAATCCACTCCTCCTTCTCATAGTCTCCTGCCCCCAGTGTCTCAGAATGTCCACATTCCTTCTGCTAGAGGCACACATTAAAGCACACATGTGCACGCACGCCCACATCACGAACACCAAGATGGGTGTCTTGGTCAGCTTATCTTGAGAGGTATTAGGAAATTTTTTAAATGCAGTCTCCCAAGAAGGAACTTCTTTGTTCCTTAGCCTTAATTTATGCCATAAGCCCAGGGAGAATCGGAAGTTCAGCACACCCAGTAAAGGTGGAGCAGCAGGGCCCTGTCACTGGTGCCGTCCCCCTGCGCCTGACCTGTGTGGCTTTCTTACTCTTCCCCGTGTGCCTGCCTCTTTCTAAGTTGCTACCACTGAACCAGAGGGCTGTCCTCTAGAGCTGTACTGTCCAAGACGGTAGCCACGAGCCAAATGGAACTATTTAAATTTAAATTACAAATTAAATCAACTTTAAAATCCAGTTTCTCACATGCACTGGTCACATTTCAAGTGCTCAATAGCCACCGAGGCCTAACTGCTACCAGACGGGACAACACGGATGGAGAACATTTCCATCACTGCAGAAAGTTCTATTGGACATCACTGGTCTAGAAATGACTAAGGGTACTTGAGACATCCTCCTGGGAGTTTACTAATTCCTGTTAACTCCTGATGGAACATTCCCCCAAGTAAATAGCACAGCTGAGCGAGGCACTGCCCCTATTATAGCTCAGTTGACCACAAAGAACCTTTGGATTAGGACAGCTGGATAAGGGTGAGAGACTCAGAGTTCAGCTTCATATACGTGAGGCATAAGGATCCTGTACAAAATGTATTATACATTTTAAAGTAATAAATGGCTATATTTAAAAATATAGAATTGTCTTAACACAGAAAAGGAAATAGCAGCCCTACAAGATATCTAGGAACCCAGCCAGGGGTATTGACGTGCAGGAATCCGAGGCAGCCCTTACTCACCAATGCTTTGTCCATCATCCCAGAAGAGACAACCTTCGGCCGTCCCCTGATCATCCAGGGCGACCTTGAAGCCTAGGAACTTCTGACGGCTGCAGTGAGGGAGAAGAGGGGCATTAGCTAAAGACAAAGCCACAGCCACAAACCAAAGGTTTTCACAGAAACAGAAAGGAAGTGTTTCCTGGTATAAAGTAAAGCCTGGGTACTAGGATTCAAGAAACTTGTGATTCGGTTCTCCTTCTGTCTCGAGAGCCACGTGACTTCGAATCAGGAATGAGTGAGTCAATCAATCAAGGGGACTTTTCCTTTAAGGCTCTACAAGCCTACAGGAGCCCCACGGGCTCTACAAAAAACCACACGCAAGCTCACTGGCCTCCTTCCTTTCCCCACTGTGGGGAAAATCCAGGTGTTTTCATCTTTTATCTTTCATCAGCAAATTCTTAAACAGGTCCGGAGAGTTTTGTTTGCATATATCCTGGGTTCTTCACTTTCCAACTGACTTTGTGATCACATGAATAGGACTCCAAGAATTTGAGTTTGACATCAGACAGACATGGACTTTAGTCCCTGCTCAACTACTTACTACCTGTGTGACTCTGAGTTAATCGCTTAGCCGCCCGAAGCCTCTCTTTGCTCATCTGCAAAGTGGGGATGATAACAGTACTTAACCATAGGGTTTATTTTTTTCCTTTTGTTAAGAAAAATTAGATAATCTGCAAATAGACCTCTCCATATTAGCACAGTTCTAGGCACAGAGCAAACATTCACCTGATGTCACCTGTTATTTATTTATTATATAGACTTAGGTTTAGAATTTTTAAATCTTGTATATAAGGAACCTCTGCCTCAGGCATCAGTTGCAGTTTGGCTTACACAGTTTTCCAGCAAAAGTTTTGCTTTTTTTTTTTTCTAAGCAAAGAGTGGATTAGGATCCAGATAGTCTTCTAAAACCAGCACGAATCATGGTTGCTCCTGTTTCACCTTCATCTCAAGTGTCACTCATCAGACCTGTTACCTCCCCCACTTCGATCTAAAATAGTCACTAATAACTGTTTCAAGAGCATAGTCTCTGAAAAAGGCTAAAACACAAACAAGCAGACAAATAAAAATGTTTAGCAAAAGACCTTTGGGATGTAGCTTGCAAACCAGTGGGCTTCACCAGGATCCGAGCTAACTGGCATGTAAGGAGAAATCTGAGCCCATCATTCACCTTAAGTGGGTGTTCTGCGCAGGCTCTTGCCAGGGCAGGATGTAGCCCCCACGGACGTGAAGATTAATGTGGTCGAGAGGGGCTGGCAAGGACTTCCACTCTCCCCGGGCTTTAATGTCCACACCCTGCGGGTCGGAAGAAGGTAAGAGATGATGGAGAGAACACATCTCCCTGAACAACGCATCGATGAGACATCTTGTCCGCCCTCTGAGCCTGCTGCCTGTTCAGGACCCTGTTACCACACTTCTCCACACTATGTGTCATCTTGTGTTGCTGCCATGACATCATGTCAGGACCCCTTGTCTTTTGGGGCCTCTACCATACATACCACATGGGATCCTAGCTGCCTCTCCCCCTACCCTCACTCCACATCCTGTTTCTGCATCAAGAAGCACCACTCAAGGAGGTTGAGTGATCCTTTTTTCTTTCTTGTTGGCTCCTGATTCACTCCCCACAAAGGCACTTCCAGACCTTCTCTTTGGCTTTGCCTCTGCTCAGCCTCCATCTCCCTCCACTGCCCCAGTCCCCACCCCAACTTCATTAACACCTTGGACTCTGACTTGACCGAAATTATTAAAGTGAACTGACTTACTTCACAAGTCCTTCTCTTTAACTCACTCTGTCTTCCTTTATGTTTCACATCTTTATCCCACCTCACACATGATGGGAGAAGTGTCTCTCACCCCCAGCTCAAACCTCAGTTCCTAAGAAACTGCCCTTCCACGGGTTCTCAACCTGGAGAAGGCTTCCTGACTTCAGCACTAGGGACATATCGGGCTGGAGACTCTTTGTTGTAGGGACTGCCCTGTGCCTTTTGGCTGTTGATCAGTGTCTATCCGCTAGATGCCAGCAGCATCTCCCCTACCTCCCACCACACTGTGCACTGTGCCAACCAGACGTGCCTCTACACATTGCCAGACGTCCGCTGGTAGGCAAATCCCCCCCATTTGAGAATCACTCCTTTAAAGGTAAGGAGCAAAGCTACTGTAACGTTTCTTCACTTTCGTTCCTTGATTTTCATTTCATACAGACTCAACTTGTACAAAACTAGGGGTAGGTGGTAGAAGGGACTGACCCTTCACTGACGGTGACTGACACCACATTCCCGGAGGGAACTCTGCTTCGTGGTCCTGCCTCAGGACTACAAAGTTTAGAGGACTTACTAAAAATTCCAGCCCTATGTCTCTGGACCTTTTTCTTACCGATGTCATGAGGAAGCTGAATTATATGCTCTCTAATGATATTTCACTCCAACATCTTATGAATCCTGGACTTTTCCTCCACTGATTGTCCTACATTCAAGCGAAACCTGACACACATAAAACCATTAAAGTTGCCTTCCTACCAAATTCTTTATTTCTCTCAATGTTTTTTTTTTCATTCTCCTATACATTATGGCTAAACATGATATGATACCTTCTCATGAGTTCATTTCCAGCCCCTCATGAGTCACAAGCTGATTAACCTTCCTTTAAATAGTTTCTGACTGAGCTAGCTAACAAATTCCTGTTAAGATATCCACAAAGACCTGATCATGAGATAACACGTAAAAGCAGAACGACTGAAATAGGAAAAGACAACCTATGGGGAGTACGCTCAGCACACACAGCAAGCACGAGGTCCGGGGTTCGATCCCCAGCACCTCCACTACAAACAAGGAAGTAAATAAATAAACCCTAATCCCTCCTTTCCAAAACAAAGGGAAAAAAGAGAAAGACAACCTAACGTGACTGTCCAAGGGAGTTTTCATCAGCCGCACAGTCACTGATTACGACTAAGAGGCACTGTTATCTTTTTGCTGTATTTCCAGTTCTCCCCTTCGCTCTCCTCAGGAAAAGCAGAAGAGCCTGGTTACAGGGAGAGGAAACACCACCCTTGCTTCTTCCTCAAGAATCAAACTCTGACTTGTCTGGACCCTGCAACAGAACACTGCCTTGACGCGTCTGTGAAAGAGCCTGTTTTCCCAGCTGAGTCTCGGGGGCTGGGACGAGCCGGCGACATAGTGCTATGACAGGGAGGATGCGGTCCCTTCGTATTCCTCGGCGCACTCGCCTTGCCCCGGCTCACGAGGGCGGGGCCTTACACCTGGGTGTGCGTTTTCCACCCAGCCTGGAGCCTGCTTACCTTAGGAAATTACATTGACCAACTCTTCTTTGAATATCTATGCTATAAAAGAACGTATTTAATAAAAACAAAAAACCCAGAGCAAAAGGCCCCTAATATTTATGAACTTGCAGCCTAACAAGGGGGATATAAACAAAAACCATCATTTCCAGCACAATTTCAAGTGTGTTCCAGTGTCTGACATTTACGCCACCGTGAAGAGTGGTGGTACAAGGAAGGGTTAAAAACGAACACACAAAGAAGATCCAGGAAAAGCCAGGCACTGCAGGAGCCGCTTCGATGCATTTCACAACACTTCTGTGAGGAAAGCGGGCTTCCCACACTCGGAGGTGAAAACACAGAGGCTCCGAGGTTGGAAGTGGCCCGTCCAAGATCACAGGGCGAGCGGGACCTGAGGACTGTCAGATTCTAAAGCCTGCGTGTGCTACCATTTCCCCAGCTTGTATATAAACAAATCAGGAAAACTCACCGTGTAGTAATCGTACCAGCGGGCTCTGGGGAAGTACGCAGTGACGTCTGCGGCTCCCTAAAAGCCAACAGAAACCAAGGCAGGTGAGTAGGCGAGGCAATCTGGGCCCAGTAACCAATTTGCACAGTAAAGAGATCGAAACAATAGTGATGGTCTTGGACCCACTGCCTGCCTCCCTTCCCCTCTTTCTCTCTCTCCCCTTCTCCCCACTACCAGCCCTCACCCCATCAGCAGTGTTGGGGAAGGCTTCCCTCCCTGCCCTCTTCTCCAACTGGGAAGATCTGCCTAGCCAAAAATTGTGGCTTCTGTAAAACCCTTTGGAATCTGGGACTCTGGGGGAGGAAAAAATCACCATTTGTTTGTAGACTTACCCCATTCCCTCTCTAAAAAGACAAAATGAGGTTGCGCCTGGGGCAGAAAACCATTTTTGTAGGTTTATGGAGCCAATACCTGAGAAATCACGATTAGTGCAATAACCTGGGGGCGGACCCAATCACCTGGTATTTTAATCAGACTCCTAATCATGGGAAAGGAAGTGAAGAAATGGCTGCCTGAGGACCTCTTACAGAAGGAAGGGAAGGGCTTGTCAGCTGCAACCAGATTAGACACATTGCTACAGACAATCCTTCTGCAAAGTTTTGTTTTAATGGTGATAGAGGATGGAAAGGCTTTCCTTATAGTACTGCCCTCACCCGACTCATTCATACGCCTATTTCAGGGAGTGAAGAAATAATTGTATCTGTAAATATATCATAGGATTTTTTTCCTTCTTGATTATCCAATGAATCAGAATCTGTTATGCTGATTATCAAGATGAGAGAGTTGAGGACCAGAATACCTAAGTGACGGCTGTCAGCTCAGAGGGAGAGCAAGAGACAGAGGCAGGATAAGAAACCACATCTCAGGACCCCTCAGACCAGGCCTCTTCTCCTTGCCTATTCACCTGCCTCACAGCTGGGACCCTCTAGTCATCAGAGGCCGCCATACTCACAGGCTGCAGTACAGGGCTGACCAGGAAGGCTGGGCCCAGCAGGAACTGACCGTCTACATCCCAGGTCACCCGGTCTGCCACAAACCTGGAGAGGTAAAGCAAGGTACCACAGTGGGGACCCCAACAGGACCCCAGATCAAGACCTAGAAGAAACTGCTCAAGCTCAGACTCAAGTTGGAAGTTCAGCTGCATGCTGTGCCATCCTTTACTCTCTCCCTAGGTCTACCTTAATCAGATCCACACTCACTTTCTACACATCATGTTCTTCAAACCCACGAAACGGTGGGATTCAGACATACTCTCACCTAAAAGCAGCTCCATGTTTCTTAACCACAGCACATCTTAATGCAAGAGTGGCCTTCGTGCCTCAGATATCCCCCTGGAATGCCTTCTTTTTTGACCTGAGCTATTACAGAAGATAGGTAGGTCTTTACATGCCCAAACTAGGAAGAACTTATTCTGGGCTGTATTGTATATCATTCTGAAATTAAAAAGAAAAAATCAGTAGCTTTTTGTCAAAGAGCTAAAGTGTGACTGCCAGCATGCTAAAAGGAATCATAACGTACGGTCCACACCTACAGAGCTTTTGGCAAAGGCAAGCATGTCTTTAGTCTAATTTGGAAGAATTACTTTCTTCAACTGCCCCCACATAGAATGGAATTACCCCTCAGTCACTGGGATCCCGGCTAGACACTCACTCATGGAGAAGAGGCCGCACGACGGTGCTGCCCTCCACGTGGGCCATGTGCATCAGGGTGTAGAGATAAGGCAACAGGGTGTATCTGGTCCGCAGGACGCTTCTGGACAGAGTCACAAAGGTAGCATTCCAGGACACAGGGTCTTGCCTCTAAGGAGAAAATAAGAGCGTTCAGGGCTCACCTTAGGGGGTCCGGGGGACTCGAGGAGGTCACATTCACTCCAAATGAAGATCACACGTAGCCAAAGCAACAATGACTACAGATGAGATTCGGAAAATATTTCTAGTAGACCGAAAGGAGACACAGAAGCTTTCCCAGAACAGGTGAAAAAAATTCCCCATAAGACATTCTGGGGAGGGGGCGATGTATCTGGTACAATGCCCAAACCAAAAGAATAATCTGAAGAACACTGGGCGTGGGAAACGTGAGGATTTTTTCATGTTCCTGTTGGCTATTTGTATATCTTCTTTGGAAAAATGTCTATCAGTTTCTCTGCCCATGTTTAAATCAGATTGTTTGTTTTTGTGCTATTGAGTTGTATGAATGCCTTATATTCCTTTGGCTATTAACTCTTAATCAGATATATGGTTTATAAATATTTTCTCCCATTTTGCAGGCTGTCTTTTCATTTTTAGTGTGATATAGTCCCACTTACTTAATTTTGCTTTTGTTGTTTGTGCTTTTGGTGTCATATCCAAAAAAAAAAAGGAATATTATTCAGCCACGAGAAAGAAGGGAATCCTGCCATCGGCAACAACAGGGATGATTTTGATGGCAATATGCTAAATGAAGCACATCAGACAGAGAAAGACAGTTACTATGTGATATCATTTACATAGTGAAAAAATTTAAATGACAGGAACAGAGAGTAGAATGTTGGTTATCAGAGGCTGGGAGGGGAGGGACGTGGGCAGAAGTTGTCAAAGAGTAAAAACTTCTTGTTATAAATTAAATATGTTCTGGTGATCTAATATATAGCATGGTGTCTGTAGTTTATAAACTTGGAAGTTGCTAAGAGTGTAGATATTAAATGTTCTCACACACAAAAAAGGAATGGTAATGATGTGAGGCGATGGAGGTGTTAACTGACCCCACTGTGGTAGTCATTTCGCAATATACAAGTACAGCAAATTAAAAAGGAGGAACATGAAGGTTTAATGGTTTTGAAGGTGTCCTTGTGGAATACAGACTACGTTACTTGTCATTCAGAATTTTCCTGGTGACACAAAACTTTTGAGCTCTGAGCTCAATGTCCTACCCTGGTCCCAATGGTGTTATGGTTCCTCGAATAGGGGTAGAAGGCCCCCAGCTGCATCCAGCGAGCACACATTTCATATTCAGCATCTTGAAAGAACCCGCAAATATCTGCTCCTGTCTGAAACAAAAGACAGAACACAACGGGCCTGATGATGACTTCTGAAAGATGCCATCGTCTGCTTGGTGATTAGGGGTGATCAAAAGGGCACTCACATAGGGTATGCCAAAGAGGCTGAACTCCATCATGCCTGCAAGGAGAACCACAGCTGTGTCAGCCAAGGCACTCGTGACCTGCCTCCCCTCCCCTCCTCGGAGAATCCTTTATCGAGGATCCCACTCCTTCCCCCGCCAGCAGCCCACACACCGATGATAGATTTCCTCAGCTGGTCCCACGCGGCCGTGTTGTCTCCCAGCCAGTGTCCTCCCCAGCGGCCAGAAGAGGGGAAAGTGGAGCGAGTGACGATGATGCCTCGCTCTCCCGTCACCTCCTGCACAGCTCTGGTTGGGAGGGAACAAGGAGGTGATGCAGGGCAGAGCAGGAGAGGAAAGGCCATAGAGTTTCTCCTCCCAGAGCCCCTGAGCCTAGCCGGGTGACAACACGTTTCCTGTGTCAAGAAGGGAACATGGGACTCTGAGCTGTAATGAGGTCCCCACTGACTGACTCCAGATGATGGAGATGATACCAAAAGTTGTGTCTTTACACAGTGTCTTACAATGTTTCATTAAAGAAAAACTTCACAATGTAAAAACCTCACTGTGTCACCTAAAATGATAAGTAATAACTTCCATTAAGAAAAGAGGGAGTGGGTAATAGCTTAGTGGTAGAGCACATGCTTAGTGTGCATGAGGTCCTGGATTCAATCCCCAGCACTTCTACTAAAAAGAAAAGTAATCACTAAATCCTGCCATTTATTTACTCAACATTTAGTTTTACATATTTGGGCAAGGAGAAAGTAAATTCCTTTATGAGGCTTTCTTTAGGATAATTCTTGTTAATCATTGACTGAGCACACAAAATGGGACAGTGCAAATTCAGTAGAATACCAGCTGGCCATTCAACAAGAATGACTGGAAAAAAAAAAAATCCCAGTAGAGATGAGTCACTTTTGAAATACAGGAAAGAGCTATCCAGTCCACTGTGTTTCCTTGTCGTAAGTAAAGTCATCACAGCATCACGTGCCCTGTATGATGACTGTCCGAGCCTCCATGAGTCCACCCTCCACTAGGACCCTTAGTCTCTCACGGGCAGGGCCGTGCTTTACTTACAGCTGTCCTCCTAGCTATGATCACAGGGTCTGGCTCCGCGCTCATGAGTGTTTAATAAATAAGAATTGCTATAAAGCTATAATTAAAATCTGAGCCCTTGGAAGAGGGGATGAAAGGCCGAGCAGGGTAGCTTCATCAGCCACTGTCTGTCCCTGGAGGTTGTCGGGACAGAAGGGAGGTGACGACTCACTCGTACGTGGGTCTGGTCTGGGCCCAGCCATACAGGCTGTGCACGTCGTAGTGCCGCACCGGGGAGCCGTCAGGCAGGATCTGCTGGCTCTCCATGCACAGGGTCTTGCTGCTCAGGCCCTTGTCCCTGGACTCCAGATCTGAAGAAAAAAACCTAGTGATGTGGGAGCTCCCTTCCCACCCTGTGTATCTCTGATCTCTCTTCAAAAGATTAGACTCTGGATCTTAAGGCTGACTTGGCCCCTGCATGAGATCAAGTTGACCTCTCCTTCCCCGGGGCATGGAAACAGGCTCGTCTCTGAGCTCCCAAGGCACCCGCAGGTCTTTTCAACATCAAGTGCCCCAGAGGGTACCCAGGAGAAAGCAGGAGGAAGAACACACAGTTGCCAAACACTAACCACGTGACAGGCTCCAACCTAGGCTTTTAACATGTACATTATTCTATGTAATGCTTATCCTCATTCTGTGAAAATGGTATCATATTCTCCTTTTACAAGTTAAAAAAACCAAAGTTGGAAACACCAAATTATCTGCTGAAGGTTACACAACTCAAAGAGACGATAATTTCTGGAGCCAAGATGTGAACACAAGTATAGCACCAAAGTCCACTGACTCCATGCAAGGGGAGGCCGTTACTTTCCACCCACTTGTTGGCACAGCAAATTCCTGGCGAGGAATTAACACGAGCCTGAAGAAGTTAAAAACTTAGCTGCAGAATTCTTTGGAGACATCACCAATGTTAAGTGTTTTCTGAAAAGAATTCAAGAAATTCACCCAAAGGGGCCAGAAACTTGTATACACCCAATTGGGGAAAGTTCTTGACTGGTGTTTGTCTCTGTCCCCCACAAAATACCAGAGCATCAGTAAGGATGTCCCTGAGCATCAGGACAAACCCCCGGCTGCTGGGCTCCGGCGGGGCCCACGCCTTGTAGCCATGGCACTGTCAGTGGAGGAGGCCCAGGGTCCTTACGCGGCATGTAGGGCGGGTGGTTCAGAGTGGCGTTCTTGCAGCCTGGGGGAACCGCCCCGTTCACAAAGCTGGCCGGCTCATTCATGTCCTAGAAATGCCAGACACAGATAGACCTCACTGTGTAAAACTATTACTGTCCCATCAACTCATAGATAAATTGGTCACCATCCAGTAATCCCACAGACACCAGCCCAGGGAGATTCATCAAGTCCAGCTGAGAACGGACTGAAAAGATCAATAAAGCCCTTCTGAATGACTGGCTAGAGGATTTGAAAAAATTCTCACTCGGGGTGTGAGGCAGGCTCAGTTCCAAAGACTTTCTGGAAATCACCTTGGAATTTTACAGTAAGAACTTGAGACAAGGTACAAGGTCTGGGGAGGGTCTGACCGTTCCACTCCTGATTGGAGGAAATGCAGTCTGACACGTCCAAAGTCCTTCCTGGATGATTCTAATCCCTTCTGATTAAAGGTCAGTGATACAAATGCGTAGACACCCAAGGACAGAAGCACACCCATCCACGTGTACACCGACACCAACACACATACTTACAATCCACATGCCATCAAACTTCAAGCTCGTCTCTGGATTCCGTGGATTGGTGTAGAGTTCTCTCAACTCCCTCTTCCACCACGTGATAGTTGAATTACGGAAAAAGTCTGGGAAGGCCACATAAGCTCGGTAGAGCTGGAAAAATTAAATATAATTTATTTGTCCCAAACAAATATGTTAGGCAGAAGAGAGGCATCTCCTGAAAGCTTAATCTCATGCAAAGCCTTGTACTACGTGGTGATAGTCAATTCAAATGGAGCGTAAGTAATGTTCTTGACTTACGCAAAATACAATGAGGGTAAAGAAAAGAAACGAGCACAAATTGTCACTTGGAAAACGTCCATGGACTGTTTTCCTTTTTATAGCAACGTGAATGGTAGCCATCAACACACTGAATCCACTTTTTCACCTGTTAGATACCCACCACTCCTCAACCTCTGCCCGGCAATTTCTAAGCACCCCTCAGAGACAAAGCACCAGCCAGGGAGACTGCAGCCTGAGAAGGGCAGGCACCAGATGCAATGTCAACAGGTTGGAAAGGACCTTTGTATTCCCCCACAGGGCTTAGCTTAGAACCTAAGATAAATGCGCAGAGCATAATCGTGAATTCACGTCACTTAGCAACAGCACATAGTCATCAATTTCTACACAGCCTATGTCGCCTGTTATGGGACTTTATGGTCCTTTGTACGTCTCAGTAAACAGGTTCCTCTATGTCCATCAGTGCATTTTAAGAGTTAAAAGGCTAAATAATGCCAGTGACAAGGGTGCGAGGAGGGAACAACAGAAAGAGGGCTTGGTCGAGGGAATCCCCAGTTCCAGACACAATACACAAGAGGCAAGTGGGAACCCGTATGTCTAGATAAAAAGCCAAAAGGGACACAAAGCAAAAACAGAAATGGATCAGTGCACAGGGATCCAGCTCACAGAGAATTTAGAGGGTAGTAAACCACATCACTGAGCATCTCGGGAACGGGGGGCATGCCAAGGATGCCTTTTTGTTGGAAAACGTAGGTAGAAACATGGAACCAGCAAAACAGAACCTTTCACCAGAAACAGAGAGCTCCGGCTCAGGCAAGGTCAGAAACATGGCGTAGAGGAGGGAAATGGAGGACTAGAATAACCAGGGTCAACACAACCACGTTGGAGTGATAACTGAATCCCAAAGGAGCTCCAAGTGGGAAACTTGATCAATGCTGGTTTATTAACCTCACTACAAGGTGCTCTGACTCGCATCCATGAAATAAAAAGTGTTCCGCTGTCCTCCAAGGTACTGGCTCTGCCTCGCTCCTGTCGGTATTCTATTCTTGTCTTATTGCTTCTGCCCTCACTTTCCCTGGTCCTCAACTCGTGACGTGCCCACCTACATGTCTGGCCCCAGGATTACTTGCCACAATCCATTGTGTGTTACCAAAATGCAATTCCTAGACTCCACCCCAGACCTAATGCATTAAACCTCTGAGCTTCAGATCCAGAAATCTGCTTTTCACAGGCTTCCTGTTCTTGGCTGGTTGGCTGGTTGGTTGGTGTTACACTCCCCTCACCCAGGCCTGGGCATCAGTAGCCTCATGCCCACCAACCTCATTAACTGAGCCTTATAAACATAACTAGTTATAATTATCCTCTCTACTGAGAATGTCTTATGTGCTACCTAGTAGACACTGCGACCCCCTAGAGAACTTCCTATTTCTCATCAGAGGCACAACAGGCATTTGGGGCAGGAGAATGCTTGGTGGAAAATTCCCTGCAATCAGAACGACGTGCATCCCTGGTCACTGCCCACTAGATGTCACGCAGTGCTCCTTGTGATGATTAAAACTGCCCCACGGAATCCAGATGCCCTCAAGGTGGCAGTATTGCCTCTAGTGGCTGATGTACTGTGGGGCTCATACAGTAGGAGCCAACCTCTTGATTGCTGAAGTGGTCCTTCCCCAGCATAATGATTTAAAAGTCATGGTTCTGGCATAAAAACAGACACATAGACCAATGGAACAGAACAGAAAGCCCAGAGATAAGCCTACACGTATACAGTCAATGAATCTTTGACAAGGGTGCCAAAAACACAAGCGGGGAAGGACAGTATTCTGTAAGCCGTGTTAGAAAACCTGGAATCCACATGCAGAAGAATGAAACTGGACTCCTATCTTACACTGCTCACAAAAATAACTCGAAATGAATTAAAGGCTTACATGTAAGACCTAAAACCATAAAACTCCTAGAAGAAAATACAGGAAAAAAGCTCCTTGACATTGGTCTTGGTGATGAGTCTTTTGAATTTGCTACCAGAAGCACAAGCAACAAAAGCAAAAATACACAAATGGGACTACATCAAGCTGAAAAGCTTCTCCACAGTAAAAGAAACAAATCAACAAAATGCAAAGGCAACCGGTGAAATGGGAGAAAATATTTGCAAATCAAATACCTGATGGGAGTTAATATCCAAAATACATAAGAAACTTATACAACTCAATAGCAAAACAATGAAGTGTTTTAAAAATGGAAAAGGTCTTCAATAGACATATTACCAAAGAAGACATACAAATGGCCAACAGGTTCATGAAAAGGTATTCAGCGCCACTAGTCATCAAGGAAAGGCAAGTCAAAATCACAGCGAGATGTCATCTCACACTTGTGAGGACAGCTTTTATGAAAAAGACAAGAGACAACAGGTGTTGGTAAGGACATGGAGAAAAGGAAACCCTTGTGCACTGCTGGTGGGAATGCAAATTGGTGCAGCCATTATGGAAAACAGGATGGAGTTTCCTCAAAAAACTAAAAATAGAGCTACCATATGATCCAGAAATCCCACTTCTGGATATATATCCTGAAGGAAACAAAATTAATACCCTGAAGAGATACCTGCACACCCATGTTCATTGCAGTCTTACTCACAATAGCCAAAATGTGGAAACAACCTAAGTGTCTGTCCACAGTTGAATGAATAAAGAACATGGGTGTGTATACATACAATAGAATATTAATCAGCCATGAGAATTAAGGAAATTCTGCCATTTGCAACAACGTGGATAAACTTAAGTGAAATAAGCCAAATACGGTATAATCTCACTCATACGTGGAATCTAAACAAACAAACAAAAAACAGTTGAACTCATAGAAACAGACAGTAGAAGGGTGGTTACCATATGATGGGGAAATGGGGAGGTGCTGGTCAAAGGTTGCAAGCCTACGTTTGTAAGATGAACAAGTTTCTGGGATCTAATGTACAGCATGTAATACTGTATGTGTACTTAAAGATACTGCTAAGACAATAGATTATAAGCATTCTTACCATATACATACACAAATGGTAACTATGTGAGCCTGTGGATGCATTAATTAACCTCATTCTGGTCATTATTTCGTGATACATATGTATATCAAATTATCACATTGTATACTTTAAAGATACACAATTTTATTTGTCAATTATTATTTCCCCAAGTTACACTTGGGGAAAATATGAAAATAAATAAATAAAAGTCAAGGAGCCAGGGCCCTGAACTTTTTTTGCAGATTCCTGTGTCCATGTGGGCTGCCTGGACCACCAAACTTCAAGGGACCTTTGGTGAGGAGCAACAGGGAGAACAGGAAGCTAGGTCCTCTCCCTTGGAGTCTTATCTGAGATCTATTACAAGTAAGAATCTGTCTCCAGCAGAGAGCAACGTTTAACATACGGCTGGAAATTGGAAGGTAAAAGCAAAGATGAGAAACCCAAGAAGGACAGGAGCAATTTAAAAGAGTCAAGATGGAGGAGCCTGTTCGTGACAAAGAGATGTACAGAGAAAATTACCCAATCACTACAGACACGGGTGGGAGACTCTGTGTAAAAGGGATACTCAAGACAACAACTGCAAAACCAACAATAAAAACAGTAAATATACTAATTCAGTTAAAAGACAGTGTTTCTCAGAGGTACCATCCAGTGGAAATTTCATGGATGTGTGGAATCTGACAGCCCTGGATTTGCAATCACCACTCTGTCACCTAAAACATTGGACATAAGTAATTTAAGCCCTCTGAGTCTTAGTTATGCAAAGGATAATAAATGCCTACCTCCCAAATGGGGTAAAATATTACATGTAAAGTGACTGGCACACAGACAGACAAACAGGGCATGTTCCCTAAGTGAATTCCCCCTCCTCGCCCATGCCCATGAGACAGGGATGTCCAGCATCCTAAGTATGGCTGCACCTTCGGCAACTCTGACTTCCCCCAACATCCACAAAGGGCCCTTTACCTCCAGCTGAGTGTCCCAGTCTAGAGACGAGTTTACAACAACATCAGGAAAATCAGGCCAGACCTGTGAAGAGAAAAATGTTCAAAGCAACGCACTAGATAATTTTTCTTATATAGCATTTTCTAAGAAGCTATAAACCATGTCCCAGAGGTAATAATACTTTGATTTTCTTGTAGGATCAACGTAGAGAAAAGTGGATCCCACAAGGCAACACACATTCTTTAAAAACTCCTTAACAGTGTTGACAAATACTGATTGAGAAAATGAGAACTTCTGACCTCGGAGTCCAAATAGAAAAGGCAAAAAAACACGTAGAAACACACTGACAGTTACCACCCCCGGGCTGGGGACTAGGGGGTCACACTCAGAGCGTACCTTTCCCCAGACAATGCTTCCATCGCTTGGGTCTTTGATGAAGACATCGTCCTCCACACCCCGTGTGAAGGCAGGATAGGGCTTTGTTTCGTTGCCAGAGATGGCTGGGTCCTGAAATCCAAGCATAGGTCAGGAGAGAAAACCGAGGCCAGAGAATGACGAGGACAGGAGAAAGGAGAATTCCTCAGAAGGGAAGGCATTGGCTTCCACCTGAGCTGTAGGGCTTCTGTGAATCTGGGGAGATGCACTTTCCTTATTGAACCTCAATTTCTCCACTCAGAGCAGGGAAGGAAACACAGCATAAAGCTTTCTCCACCAAAGCCCACTCTCTCTCCCCAACAGACTGCACCCGCTCTCGTGGGGACTGACCAGGATAAGGATGACCCGCATCCCATCAGCCTGGATGCGTGTAATCAGAGCTGGGAGCCCAGCAAATTCGGGGCCAAGGGTGAAGTCCAGCTGCCGCTCCATGTAGTCGATGTCGGCGTACTGCACATCCTGGAGGAGGACAAAGGACACTTGCAAAAGTCCAGGTTCCAGATGGGACAATGCACCACTGACGAATGGTGAATTTCAGGCATCTTTGTGATTCTTTCAAATCCCACCTCTCTTGTTCGTTAGGTACTAGGTTCTGAAAAATTCACCTAATTTTCTCATTTCCAGTCATAAAACAGGGAAAAAACTATACTAGCAAAAAACAGGATGCTAATGCCTAGCTAGCAGGGCTGTGGAGATAAACGAAAACAGCAGATGAGAAAGTGCTTTGTAAAAGGCCAGTATATGGAGTGACTGTGGGTGCCCCTGCTATCAGTGGTTCTTGTTCAGAGAAAATAACATAATGGAAACTAACTGGTACCAGTGCAACATGGACAGTAAATCTGCTAAAAACAAAACAAACAAAAATACCTATAGTTGCTTTGCAATCACTAATCCTGGGGGTTATCAGACACAGCTTTCCTATTTTTTTTTAATTTTTTAGGGGGGAGGGGAGATAATTAGGCTTGCTTATTTATTTATTAATGGAGGTACTGGGACTGAACCCAGGACCTGGTGCATGCTAAACACATACTCTACCACTGAGCCGCACCCTCCCCATAGCTTTCTTATTAAGAATAAAATATTGCACACTACACTTTCCAGTAATAGGAACAATTGTAAACAACGGAAAAAAAGTAGAAGATTAAATATGTAAGTGGTTCATGGGCCCCATGATCTGATTAGTGGACTTGTCTCCAAGTGAAGGCAGAGTTCGTTTCCATATGTATTTCCTCTGGAAACCAGTCCCTGGTCCCTGCATTCAGCCAGGAATTAGCTCAAAGCTTTGGGAACACTGGGCTGCAGCACTGGCAAAGTGCTGGAACTGAGTTTATATCTACACACATTCTGGTCTGCCTGAATTGGGGTCAAATTCTTTTAATTATGCAAAACTACTGTTGGGGCAACCTTTTATTCTTATGGTACCAAAGATGTTTCGACTGTATGCTGTGAAGTCACGTGAAAGAAACGGAAGTATGATCTTGCAGAAAGAGACTTGGAGCTGGCCTCATGTCCTCCTCCACCTCCTTTGGCAAATCACTGTGACTCTTCAAGTTAGGGACAATGACCTCCCCACCTCGCCTTATATTGCTGCATAGGAGTGAGGCTGAGTGTGCTATTGCATGAGAAAATACTTCATAATTTTATAAAACCCAATAAAAATCAGACAAACTAATCCAGATATAGAGACAACAAGGTTTGGCTCTGAGGCCAAGTACCCCCCAGACTGACAACATACATAGGGGATCTGGGCAGCCACCATGTCATCATACAAGCTGGCAATCTCAGAGTCGTTCTGGTATCCATAGCGACACAGTTGAAACCCCAAGGACCAGTAAGGAACCATCACTGGCCGACCAATCAACTAGAAAATAAACAGAGAATTTAATTCTTAAAAAGGAGAATCTGGATTGAAGTCGTACACGAAGTGATAAGACTGTATTTCCAGTGTCCCCAGTTAGATAATCACCAAATTCAAATCCAGACAGAAACTAAGAGGATGCAGAGCCACTGGGATAACTTGGATAAAGCTTCCTGCTAGACTTAATCACTCTCCCTGGGAGTTTTTAAAAATCTGATTTTTTTACTCTGATTTCCAGTGGTAGTCCAGCTTACTGGTTAAGAACACAGAATCCAGACGCAAAATACCTGGGCTACCTTATAGGCTCCAATCTCTGCTGACTATGTGACTTTAGGCAAAAGTGAAATAACCTCTTGTACATCTGCTCTTCGCTTGTAAATTGAAAATAATAATGTATTCATTTCAGTATTTTTGTGAAGACTGAATGAGTATAAAGTACTCTGACATGCAGGAAGTAATAGATCAGTGACACATACTAAGTTTTATATCAGTGTTTGTTGCTGCTGACAAAACAACTGTCATGGCCACTAGGACCACAATTACCACCACCACCACCACCACCACTACCATCATTATCACCGCCACCACCACAATCATCACCACCACCATCACCACCACCACCATCACCACCACAATCATCACCACCATCATCACCACCACCACCACCACCACCACCATCACTACCACTACCATTACTACTATTGCCACTGGCAACTATCACCAGTGGCACCATGGCTACTTCTACTCTACAATGCTTTGACAGGCTACAAATTTAATGGTTACTGGGATGTATTTATTGTTCCTTATTCTATAACCTACTCGTCTTCCAGAAAGACCAACAATTCTAGTTACCATCTAAGAACTACAGAAAGTGCTGTATAAATACTGGCTAACCAATTAAATTCTCTCCTACCTCAGTGTACTGCTGGGTGACAAGCTCTGGAGTTGGCCCCAACACCACATAGAAGTCCAGAACTCCTCCTGTGGTACGGTACGTCAAAGCAGGCAAGGGCTGGAATGTCACATCTGGAAATGGAGGAAAATGCCAGTAAATCTGGAAACCTCCAAGTGAGAAATCACCCCCTGAAATCCACACATTCTCCCTCTTCCTTTGCCTCCTTACTGTAGAGTATTGAGGGAAGGTGTTTTGTACTATAGCTACACAGAATTTTAAAAGGTGAGTGAAAGTCTGCAGGGTCCCATGCCTGGATTTTTTTCCCTTTGGTGTGCTTAATATCTTATTATATGTTTTGCCATTCTGCTCTTTCAAATTAATAGCAATTTTATTTTAGAATAGTTTAAGACTTACAAGAAGTTGCAATATAGTCCTGAGAGTTGTCTTGCACACTTCACCCACCTTCCCCTAGTGATAATATCTTACATTGTATGTCGTCAAAACCAGGAAACTGACACTGATTTAATACTATTGACTCAGGTATAGGCCTTATTCAGATTTCACCAGTTTTTACATGCATGCTTTTTAACTCCACCTCCTGATGTTCCACCTCCTTTCCAATACACCACACCAATTTTCTTCACACCCTTGTACCCTCAGAGTGAGTGCTCTGATTCATCACTTCATCACTAATTCAAGTCATATGAATGGCTCCTACTGGCTGACCTCCGGATACTTGGTTTTGTTATCCCTTCTACATGGTTTTTGCCAAATAAAAGTTGAGTTAATCCTTGCTACTACATGTTACTGGACTGAAATAAATAGAAAGTCTAAACAAAACAAAGGGAAAAAAGCAAAACAAAACACTGTCCACAAGATAATAATTTTGTCTTTGGGGGCAACTTGGCCAAACACATTCTAAAGTTCCTCCATAATGACTGATTCACCAAAATAAGGGGCTAGGCTGCCATCATCTCACCCATGGCATTGCTGTTTAGCAGGAGCACTCCATGGGCACTGCCGTCCTCCTCCAGTGCCATGTAGTAGGGGTGGACACCATAGGAATTCTTCTTGTACTGGGAGAGTCACAGGGAGAGGAGAGGTTTAAAGATACTGTGGCTGAGAAAGAAACTCAACAAAAATTGATTGAAATGGTATGTCTAGTCTTCTCCATGAAATAAATTAAACACACGAAAAACAAAGAAGCCTGAGAATTGGCCCATTTGTCTAAAAGCAGAATGGAACCATCCAAGTTGAGTCTGGAAGGATGACGCATGACGTGTCCACCGTGTGGGCCGACAGAGACACAGGCACACGTTCCCAAAGGCTCTGCCCTTACCCCCGGGGGCTGGTCTCTGGAAAACATGCCCCACGTGTTCCAGTTTAAGTCTCTTCGAAAGGCCGTGTGCTCGGTTTCCCCAAAGCCATAGAGGTATTGGGAGGGGAGGCGCGTGGAGATGCGGATGAACATGTCGTTGAAGGTGAAGCCAAGGAGCTGAGAGTCCCAGCTGCAACACAAAAGGGCGAGTTGGCAGAAGAAATGGGCTGTTCTCATGGCTTCAAACAGCTGACTTCTCAGCAAGATTGAACTCTTGCTTTCTTCCCTGACCCAGAACCCTGGGAACCTCCCAAACAAAATACCAAGTCTATACAAGCTAAATAATCATCGACGTCCTGGCTAAAAGCCCAGGAGCCAGCTTCCCTCTTCTGCTTTCCTCTATCACTGCCTCCTTTCGGGTGTCCCTCCAGAATGCCAGACCCAGTCACTGTCACCATCTCGGTCCCCACCACCTCACACAGCCCTAGTTCCCACTCTTGTCCCCACAGGGATCCATTTTTTACAAACCATCCAGAGTGATATATTTTTGAAGCATCTCACATCATGCCACACCCTTGTTAACAATTCTTCAGTGATTCCTCATCAAAACATTTGATGAAGTCTTCAAAGCCACTCCTGATCTGAAGCCACCTAAACCCCAGTCTCACCTCCCACCACTCACAGCCTTACTTGTGACACTGCTCCAACCACACAGGACTTTCTTCTCCTTAGTATGGCAAGCTTGTGGCTGTCTCCTGGCCTGTGCACTGACTACTCAATCTGTCTAAAGTGTTCTTCCTCTTCCCCCAGATCTCCACATGAGTGGCTCTTGCTCCTCGTTCAAATGTCACCTCCTTGGAGAGACTTACTCTGACCACAGATTCCCCTTGATTCTCAATTTCCTTGTTCATTTTCCTACATAGCAGTTGGCACTATCTAAACCACCTCATATTTTCACTTAAATTATTTTTGTTATTTACTTATTATTTTTTTATCATGAAGAGAGATCTTATCTTCTATAACCAACTGATATAGAGAAGGCATCCTGTAAACATTTGTTGAATGAATCCCTAGGTACCTGCAGCTGCTTCAGTAATTACTCCCAGGGCACTAAAGGTTTCTCCTAAAAACAGATCTGAAGGAAATAACTTATTCGTGAAACCAGAAGGGGACAGTGTGTTGCTTTGAGCAGGACTGCCTCCAAGGACAATAGATCTGGCAATGAACATACAGGTAATCATCAATTCCAAAGCAGACCAGGAGCCATTTACATTACAGTGCCCGTACTCTTCCGACGAACTTCAATCCCAAATGGGTTCTTCTTAATGAGGACCTCATAGAGTCGACTCTCAGGGGTGCTGGATGGAACCTCGGGGATGTTGAGAGGGATTGGGACTTCATACCGGTTGTTGTCGGGATCATAAATCTAGGGCCAGAGGAAACAGATTTCAGGCAAGTTGAGTACTCTTGAAACCTATACCCTTAGACTCTTTGACAAAAGGGTCTGAATGCTGTATTTCTTTGTCTTCTTTAAGCTCACGATCCTGGGAATTTAAGTAACAAATCAAAGATTAACATCAAATTTATCATTTTGATCTAAGTCTGTCATCTCTCATTTATAAGCCTCTATTATAGTAACACATTCCATTGATATTATTTCTACCTTGGAAAATCAGACTAGAAGTTATGACTATATTCTTTATTACTTTGTATGCAGGTGGATGACTGCATGTGAATACCTGAAAGCTTTTCTGAGTTGAAAAACAATGCCCCCCAAAATCATGAACTCTATTTGATTAAAATAATCATAGATGTTCATGCTAAAAACAGGGGTCTGAACTGATTCACTGAGTGCCTACTATCTTCTTGTCTGATACTGTACTAGACACTAGGATTACTAAACTGAGACACAGCATTGCCTTTAAGAAAGTCACAAATTAATGGGAGGCGAAGAGAGGTGCCCACAGCACCGGGTGAACTGTACTAGTGCAGGGCTACAGAGAAGGGTTGTGAGATACAGGGAAGGAAGTGCCTAACAATGTTTCTGGAAGACTGAGATGCTTTCATGGGGGAAAAGGATGAGTCTTGAAGCTTTGCAGCCATTAAACAAGCACAGAGAGAAAACCAAGTCATTTCTGGCAGAGATATAAATGCAAAGGCATAGAGAACTAAAAGAGGCCAATATTCTGGAGAGAGCTACTGTATAATCAGGAGGTGAGGAGGAAAGAGTTAAAGCTGGAAACTTGGGCAAGTTCATTTATTTCAAACTCATTAGGTGATTCAGAACGGCTCTCACTGTCCCATCAGTGGTTTCCGATTACTCTGAGGATAATGACCTAGTGTATTGCAGCATGGTTCACCCAGAAGAGCATACTTAATTTGGGGTTCTGTAACCCAGACTAGCAAAAAGTAACAGAACTGAGAAGAGCTGAGTCAGTACTTAGTACAAATACTGTAAACACGTACCTTAAACTGCAGCATGTTATCCTTATGGTAGGTCACATCCAGACGGAGGGAGCTCACAGGTGTCGAGGGCAAAGTGTAGGCATAAGGGGAAGACTTCAAGGAGATGACAGCTGTGGCCCCATGGGAGTCATACTTAATATCACCAACAGAGTACAGATCATTGATGAAATAGCAAAAAGGGACTCCAGGAGAACTGGATTCCTGAAAAGTAAAACAAATCCAGCTCAGAATGGGTCCTAGAATTATCAAATACAAAGGGGCTAGGAAAGGCACTTTGCAGGGAGATGAAGATAAAATCACTCACTTTCTTACACAGTCTTTGGCAGGGACATAAGTTTAAATTTCTGGTCTCCATGCAAAATACTTGTTTAAAACAAAATCCCACTCCTGTCCCTACCTATTCTTCACATCCAGATAAAAACTCAGGCTGCTTTGGAAGTCCTTTCTTTCTGTGTATTTTAAGCAGTGATACAGGTACTGATGCTATGCTCGGGAAATTGTAGATTAAGTGTAGAGGGTTTTACTGTACATTAACACTGTCAGCATGGTTACCTCCCAGACACAGCCACGGGCAGCACAGTTTTCCGCAGAAGCACCATTCTCATCAGGATAACAGTCTATTTTTTCTGCATCCCTTATCTTCACATCCCACTCCACCGTGTATGCTTCTCCCAGGACAAGGTTGATTCCTGTGATGAGGGCCACCTGGAAGAATGAGGCAGCTTAGCAGGAAAATTTATCCTTGGAACAAAGGCCTTGCAAGATCTGAAACTTCTTTTAGGAAAGAAAATAGAAATCAGACCAGACGCTCAACAATCCGAGTCCCACAGCACTGGAGTTCACATGAAGAGAGACAGCGGGCAGGATCCAATCAGTGACCATAGGGCAAATGTCATCATTCTACCTTGTACATAACATTTTGAAAAGAATCAAGTCAAGCAAAACCTTTGGTAATCACAAAAGGTGATTTCTTTTCCTTCCCTAGCTTTCCTTTTTCTTTCTTTTCTCCCCTAACTTCATTTCCTCCTCCTTATTTTGTCAGGAAGGCTCACCTGTGCACTCCCCATACAGCACAGCACACACAAGCACATGGTCTCATCCCAAACTGAGATCGTCTTCTTGCCCCCGATCCCCGAAACCAGTGTTCCCCCACTGTCTGGACTGGGGGCAAGAACACAGAAATGAGAATCATGGGGCCGGGGTTCTCACTGCCATTCCACTGTGGAAACTCAGACAAATTATTTCAATTCCTTGGGTTTCAGTTTCATCAACTGCAAAACCGGTCAGCTGGCAAGTTCATTCCATTTCCTTCCATTTCTAATGTCCCAGCCTCTTCATTTCTTTAAACCCAAAGTCTCAAAACTTGAAACTTTCTGAGTCCCATTCACTAATTCAAATATTTCAGAATATGAAAATGAATATATATATGTATTCATGTATGACTGAAGCAATGTGGTGTACACCAGAAATTGACACATTGTAAACTGACTGTACTTCAATAAAAATAAATAAAAAATTTAAAACCCAACAAATACTTCATATTTTTCTGTGTTCACCTCTTCTTTAATTAGTAATTTCCATAGAGAACGTTCTCATTTGTCTAGAATTATAAAATCTCATTCTAAGGATGCTCACCCTTCTTCCAGTATCTCCTCAGTCTACGTCATCTTATACTTCTCAGGACTACAAACCCCACCTCAGAACAATTTTCTTACAATGGCATATGTTGATTCAAGGATCAGTATGAGACCCTTTGAGAATTAAATCAGATCCTTCTTATTCTGGTACCTAAGACCCTCCAAAATCTGAACACAGTTAATCTGTCCAAACTCGTCTCCTTCCAAAAGTGGATCCTCCCTGTTCTAGTTACACAATACAGACTGACAAGGCTGTTCTCAGAACTGAGACTGACTTTTTCTGACACCTCAACCTTGAGTGCTTTCTCTAGGAAATGCCCTTTCTAGGAAAATGGTGCCCATTTTTGGACTAGACTGCTAGCTGCCTGCCCATATAAAATTCCCTTCTTACTCACTATTTCAGTTTAAAACACTTAAGTTCCCAATTAAGAACTATTTTTAATCCATGTAACACAGCTGTGGCCACTAACAGGTAAGTAAGTCTGCTGGGAGTTGCCAGCCAAGTGTTTCGTGTTTCGTTCTTTTTTTTTTTTAATTGAAGTATAGTCAGTTTACAATGTTGTGCCAATTTCTGGTGGCACAGCACAATGTCTCAGTCACACCAAGTGTTTCTTTCTTGATTTAAGGGCCTGCCCCTCCCTTCCCCTTCCCCTTTTTCTTCCAGCTTCTTCTTTTTTTATTTTTACTCTTTTTCTAACAAAGCCATAGCGATGAGGATTAAGCCACCACTTCCAATCACAAGAGAAGAAAAGACCTCAGCCCTGATAATCTTGAGTCACTGAAGCAACGCCAGCAACTGACCACTTCCTAACCTCCTATTGCATAAGGAAAAAACCCACAATTTGTTGAAACCACCATTCTGCTGAGTTTCCTGTCACTTGCAACTGAACAAATCTCTACCAGATGCACCATCTTTCAAGGTCCAATGCCCTGATGTCTCCCAAGGCTTCACTCAACTACTCCATTAAGCTTGTCAACATTAAACTGGACAGAATATGAATTAACATTTCCTATTTGTAAGGCTGGGTTGCCTACCCCCTTCCCAGTAGTTTCATGTATATAAACTGTTTTCCCATCACCTAAATTCAAACAATAAAGGAGTTCCTTTGATCGTATATTAATTAATTTACTTATCAAACATTTAGTTAGTTTATTTTTTATATGAATCCTAGCTCACACTTTGCTGTGCACATAACCAGCTATATAATACTTTATTTCTCACTTTGTAATGTACGCATCATCAGTGTATGTTGTCAGGACAAAATGTCAAATGCCACCGATTTATCACTATAGTAGAAGACTAAATTTACTTATTTTCTCCAAATATGGAAGGTCCCTCACCAACCATGCTACCCAGCAGCTTCCAAACCCAGATCATTCAGCGTCTGTGTAAGAAGGAGTGTTTGGAGAAAGGATTCCGCCTGACGCTGAAATTTCAGAGGAACTGATTACAATCTGATCAGGAACATCAGGTTTCATTCAAAGTGATGAAAAATCATTTTATCATTATCATTGAACCAAGTAAGTAGCCACTAGCTAAGCTTACCAAGTTCTTTGACTTAAAATACTTCCTAAAAATGTATGTGTTGGAGTGAGAATCTGTACAGCTCAATACAGTTTTAAAAAAAAGGGTGTCTCAAAATTCTAACTAATGGGAGTCCCACCTCCCACCTCAACCTTTCTAGCATCAGTCAGCAGCTCTCAGACCCAGTTTTCCTCTAATTCGGACTTCTCTCCTCTTCTGTCCTGGTCAGAGGGGACAGCAGACTGAGGAGCAGATAAGGGAATAAAGATAAAAAGTCCATTTTACTTCATCCTGGTCTCTCAGCAGCTCACTTATTTTTTCTAGCTCTGACCCACTCCTCATTTTTTTTCTGCCCTAACTCTCCGATTTCCCCACTCCAGTCTTCAGAGTGTACTCTGGTCCTTCAGAAACCCATGCAACCTTGGCAAGAAGGACCACCTTAAGCTATAAAGAATTCTTGATAAACTATTTCCAAAATGGAGTTTTACCTGTAGGTCAGAATCGTAAGTGACATTAGGAGAAACTTGACTTGGATGGACACCATTGTGTTTCACTGTAATGTTGGTAGGTTCCTGGGTCCCAAGGATTTTAATCTCTTTAAATACTAAATTATTGGGGTCTGTGTAGGTTGACTGCAAAATCTTCACATCCAAGCGGTTCTGCAAAACAACGAAGCACAAAGGTTGGCGTAGAATACACAGATTCTCAGGTCACTCAAACATCCCATCAGAGACCAGACACCCAGAACTGCTCTGAATGCCTCTCGGCTGTCTCTGCTAATGCGTGCTCAAGAAGTACAAACTTATTTTTCCCCTGAGGGGTGTGGAAGGAGAGAGACAGAAACACATACACACAGAGAACATTTTTTAAAACTTCATTTAAAAAGACAGGCTGCTTTGATTTATCCATATCATTGCCACTTTTTACCAACATGGATGATTCAATTATTGGGCATTAAAGTCATAAACTGAAATGTGTCAGCCTGTTGTCATAAATGAAGCTACAAATATAATTACACAGACACAAACACGAAGAACTGATGGTCATACAAAAGCCCATACTTAAGATGCACAAAAATATACTACTCACTTGGGTGACGGAAAACTCACATAAGAGATAAGCCTTATTGGCCACAGTATCTGAAAGCGAGAGACAAACAGGTCAGACTCCAGCAGGATGGCTTTCCTCCTGGTGCTGCTTGAGACTACATGTTGACAATGACAAGACCAAGCCACTGTTTTCCCTTTTCCTTCTGGCCTTAACCTTGAAAAGTTCCCTTCCAAGTGCTTCCAAGGCACAGTCCTCAAGTGAATCTGTTTCCTAAGCTTGAGCCACAAGAGCTGTTAGTATATTGGAGACAGAAAAAAAAAAATGTGCTAAGAAGCATGGCTAGGTACAGGCCTACTTGAAAAGCGGGTTCTCACTGCCCCACTGGCATGGGTATGTTTTATATATCATTCATTTTGTTCGTAAGTATTTGGAGGGGAGGCATGTGCATTCAATGGCAGAAACAATCTTGAAAACATCTCTTACAGGTGCCTGTTGACAATCAAATGAGAGCCCACACATAGAGCTGGCCAGTGGGAGAATTCCAAGAGGTAGAGATGTGTTTTCCTTCTACCTGTGGTCCATCTACCACTACTCTCGAACAGCACAACCAAGACCAAAGTTCTTCTCTCGAGTGATTAATGCTCCGGTGCCTGGTGAGACTTCCTGCACAGCTGCATGACCAGCAAGAGTAACCAAAGACGCGGGTTTGGGAAACAGTGACATTGTCATAACAGTGCTCACCTTTCGTTTCCCCATCATCCCAGAAAAGTTCGCCTTTTGCTTCTTTGTTCTCATCTAGGGCAATGATGAGACCAAGAGGGTTCCTTCGACTGTGGGAAATAAGATTTATGTAAGAGGCGAAGACTTGGGACTCAAAAGAATTTTGCTAAATGAGCTGTGAAAGATTCTAACCAGATTTCACATGGGAAAGGTTACCAGTAGCAGATGGCTCTGCTTTCTTTGGGCACAAAGGCAAAATCAACACGGGCATCATTTTCTAGAATTAGTAATGTCACAGGAGACAGAAGTAACCAAACGTCAGCCATAAACATCTATGTAGGAGGCAAGAATTTAAGCACCAGAATCACTGCAATTGCTACAATCAAAGCTGCTGATGCAACTATTATTTTGAATACAGGCTATTAGAAGAAGAAACCCTGGATTGTAACTGGCTCAGTCTAATCATTTAGAGATGATACGTGCAGGGGAAGCATTAACTACAGTCAGGGGGATATATTTTTTTCCCTGCCTAAGAACCAGGTTGACTGAGAAAGCAATAAGATACAATTCAGTCCATCGCATTTTATATATATATATATATAGACACACATGTATACACATATATACATACACACATATATTTCCATATATACATATATAATGTACTCTGTAGGATACAGAAATATATAATGGCAATTTTCTGACTTTGACTATTTATTATTAGTTAATTTCAAAAGAAAAATTTAACATTCTAATTATCTGCTTTATAGACTATGAAATACGAACACTACTCAAAAGATGCTGAAATAGGTGGATGTAGAGAAAGGAAGAGGGACTTCAAGTGGAATCTCTCCTGATTTCACCACTCCTCGACACGACCTCCTGCTCCTGTTGTGTCCACCCCTGACCTCGTGCATCCCATAGGACTCTGTCACAGGTCAGCCTTCCACCCTGCCCTATCTATGCAAGCCAGGTTCCCTTATCAACAAAATCACCTGCTTTCATTTAACAGGCATGTACCGAGTAGCTCTCATCACTAGGAGGTCTAAGAGATACAAAAACAAGTACACTGCAACTCCACTGATGACCTTAAATATTATAAGAAAGATTGAACACATTCACCAAATAGTCAAAACGGAAAGAGTAAAGAGTGGCACAAAATTGAAATACTTTTAGGAGTCCACAGTAAAACACCCTGCAGCGTGGAGGCCTAGCTATGATGGAGGACACTACATACGTTGAACGACTCACCCACTAAAACACTCCTTGGGCCCAGATAAATTAAACACATGATTGTTGAAGGGTGCTAACGTGACCCCCAAGTTGACAGCAGTCCTGGCTTGCAGCCAAAGAGAAGGCTAAGCCTCTTTGCAAGAACGAGGGCCATCCTGGGATCCTCAAGATCACTTTTGAAAAAGAAAAAAAGAAATGACTAAACACACAAGGTACCAAGCCAACATGAAAGACAGTTGGCAAAGACAACTGACAACAGATTTAGATCCTTCTGAGGATTTTAGATCACGGAATTTTCAGACACAAACTATAAAATAACTCTGATTGAACTACTTAACGATATTAAGGAGGAAAGAAAAAAATCAGCTAAATAGCAAAAAAGGATAAAAAAAAATGAGCAGAAAGTTGGAAGTAGCAGCACTCCCTCTGCTGGAGTCGTTGGGGAAGATCTCATCTGGCGGATGAAATCTGAGTTTAACTTGGAAGCTCAAGAAGACTGTGTCAGGCAAAGAGCGCTGTGAAGGGGGACAAGCGCCGAAGCCCAGCTGCAGTGAGACAGACAACAATGCTTGGAGAAGAGCACGATTTTCGGCATCACTGGTCTATAGGTGTGTATTAAGGTGTGTCTGGAGACACAGGTGTTAACTTGAAACCAGACTGTGATTGGCCTTGAACTAATGGCAGAGTTTGGACTTCAACCTGGCAAGCAGCGGGTTGAGATCTTCATTTTGGAAAGATAATTTTCGTACCCATATGCAGAACAGCATGAAGCTGAACAGTGGGAGAAAAAGAAACCAGCTGGTGTTGGCTGTATAAGCATTTTCCATCAGTATCATAAAAGCCTAGATTCGAAAAATTAAGGTAGCAAGGGGGGTTCAAAAAGAAAAGACAGATTTCTAACCTCCTCAAAACTCCCTCTTAAAAGCAAATAAGCAAAGACGTTTAGAGACAGATAGGAATGGGTGCCTCTTTAGTGCAGACGGAGCCTATGAGAATCAAAAAATCTTAAAGGAGAGGTCAGTGACATGAAGGAGATCTGAAGTGCATAAGAGGGCATTTTTGAGTCCCATTCTGCATCACAAGAGAAAAAGGGCTTAGTGGGAAGAAAGGAAGGGGAAATGGAGGTTACGGGGGAGTGGACAGTGAAATGGGAACGAGGAGTCAAGAGCGCAGCATGGTGGACCGAAGGTCTGATCAAGACAGGCGGGGTGAGCAACAGACCCCATTTGCCTGGAATCGAGGTTTCCCAAGACATGAGACTTTCAGAGCTAAAACTGAAGTGGTCCTGGGAAAACCGGGAAGGTTCACCACCCTGGCACTCAGTATGTTTTGAGGAGAAAGTCAAGGGGTTTAAGGAAGGACAAAGATTAAGGTCTTTCAGAATCCATTTGGATGGAGCTCCAAATCACGGCTTCCCCACAAGAGGCCTAGGGAAATCCAGGAGAGAGAGAGTTCAATGGCCACATACACACCCCGGTACCCTTCCTCCCCACATGCCATGTAATGCTTCAGCAGTTCCTACAAGGACAACAGATGGGAGCAGAAACGACCAGGTGTGTCAGCCTCCTCCGTAAAGGAAACTCCCAGCCATGCTGTACCTGGCCTCCGTGGTTGTGGCCGGCTGTTGTGTGGGGAAGATGTAGCCGCCTCGAAGGTGAAGCCCGATTTTGTCTCCAGGAAGTTCCATCTCCACTCTCTGCTTCCTCCATCTCACGCGGCCCCCCTGATGCATGCAGACAAATCAAACACGCTGGCATGACACCACAGCACCTCCACCTCTTACCCACCTGCTGAGCCAACTACAGCTCTCCTTTTCCCACCCTGGCTGAATGCCTGTCTAGTCAGGCAATCAAACAAGGAAAGGAAAAAAATTTAAGAATAATAAGTTTTATGATCAGTTGGGAGTTTGCGGGGGGGCAGTGACATCATGCTGAGGCTAGCTGACGTACATTATATGAATGGATAGGTCTAAACAAGTCATTTGACTCATGTCCAAGCTCAAACTGTCCATCAGTCCCAATATTTGCCCATGAGACACTCTACTTCAGTCTTTGTCTTATTAATGAATAAAATATATGAAAGTATCTTTTTTCAGATTTCTTCATGACTCGTGTCAAGTGACTTAAGCTCGTTTTAAAGACTCGGCTATGACATTACAGAAACACTCCTCAGTGCACGGAGAGATGTTTCTCTCTACAGGGAGGTGTCTTGTCTATGCAGCTGGAAGAGTTTAAGAAAAGTCAAAGCTACTTACAGTCTCGTAGTCATACCAGACGGCGTCAGGCACATACGCCGTCACTTTCTCTGCACCCTGAAATGAAAACATTGTTCTTCACGAGCCAGCCTCTGAAGGGGGAAAATAGATTTCCTAGCACTTCCTAGGGAACTTCTTAACCACATACTGCAAGTGCACAAATGGTCTTTCTTTTCTCTGTTATCAAATGATAATTTTCTTCTAACAGAGGCAATAATTTGGCGACTCAAAGAAAGATCCCAGATGGAACCACATTAGGAATAATAATAAAGATGATGAAATACATGATGTGGTTAGAGTTCCAGCTTTGTATTGTTTACCTCATTTAATCTTCCCAACGGTCCCCAGCGATACGTACTCTGATTACCTCAGCTTACAGCTGAGGAACCGGCACAATGACTTGCCCCAGATCGCACTGGGATGAAACGGCAGAGGCAATAACCACAGCCTGATGAGCCTGAGCTCAGGGTGAGTGCCGGGTGACTGCTCTGCCTGCCTCCGCGTCACGGAGTAAGTAACGATCTGCTATGAGAATCTGATAACACATAGGAGCATCCTTAAACCCGGAGTCACCCACAGATGCTTCTACACTGACTGGAAACTTGGTCAAGAAAAAAAGACTCTCGAGAAAAAAAAATGTGTCACCATCAGTCACCCAACCTCCCAAAACCCCAGCACAATCTCTTCTAGGCTGACCCAGCCACAGATGTTGGAAATGGGTTTGGAATATAAAGGAGAGAAATGGGAGGGTAGCAGGGACAAAAGCTGAGACCACCAGTGTGTCTCCATGGGACACTCGCCTCACTGAGAACTGGAGTGATGAGCAGGCCGGGCCCCCAGAGAAACTGCTGGTGCACGTCCCACGTGTTGCTGTCCGCATAGAACCTAGAGACCAGAGAGGTGTTCGCTGCCACTTGGACCACTGCTTCCTGGCAGCCCTCCCACCAGCCTGTCCAAAACATGCAGGCTCCCTGCTTGGGGACCCCCTCCTCAGTTATTCTGTGATACCTGTTCACCCCGCACCTCCCTACTCCTGCAGGCAGATACACGCTCCCCAGCCCAGGTGCCCTCCTATTCTTCCCCCAACTGGGACAGAAGTCCCTATTTCAGCATCTATGCTAGGCATGTTTTAGACTATAATTCCAATTGCCACATCCCCCTTTAAAAAATAAGCAGAATAAGTAATACATTTTAAATTAAAAAAATTTTTTTTAGTTTTTTTGGGGAGAGGGAGGTAATTGGGTTTATTTATTTATGTTTAGAGGAGGTACTGGGGATTGAACCCAGGACCTCACGCATGCTAAGCATGAGCTCTACCACTGAGCTCTATCCTCCCTAGCAATACATTTTAAAACTTCAGCAGACTGTCAGAAAGAGACTGGATCCGATCACAAAAAAAACAAAAAAACAGCAGACAATTTAAAAGTTTACTCTTTTCTCTTTTAGCATATCTACCTTTTTAATATGGAATTCCAGGTGATAGAAAAAACTTACCCAAAATAATAGTAATAGTAATTAGAATACATATCATTTTATATGATAGAATAATATGCCTGAGGGCCTGAAATGCCAGAGATCTAAGGAAATGAACTGTATCTGGATTTTGACACAGGAAGCCTCTTAAGTGCTCTTTCTTAGAGTCAAATTAGAGATGCTTGTTGGCTGACAGTAAAAATTCTGAATTCTGGAAGTGCTCTGTGATATTCTTATCAGCATGTACATGGCAGGCTTATTCCCAGAGCCTGAATATAGTGCATTACGGAAAAGACCATCAGGTTCAAGCTATCAGATTCTTTAAATTAAGACCAAAGAAACTGAGGATGAAAGAACTTGAATGATCTGTGTAAGGTACAGAGTTAGTTGGTGGTGGAACAAAGAAAAGACCCCAGATCCCATGACCTAGTCTAGTTCTCTCCCCTAAGAGGGAACAGGCTGTAACACTTAAATACACCCAAAACAGTACTAGGCAGCAATAGCCTTACAAGTTAGCAACTGGGTATTCAAATTCAAAAAAATGTATCTGAGTAACAGTTTGAATTGTTTTAATTTTCACTCTTATGTTTGATGATACAGTCAACGTACCCAGTTGCATTAACAAAATTCCCTTGGGTTAGGTGAACTTACTCGTGCAGAAGGGGCCTGGCCACCGTGTCCCCCCGGCTGTGGGCCTGGTAGAAGAGGGTGTAGAGGTAGGGCAGCAGAGTGTAGCGGACGGTAAGGTAGTGCCTGGAGGAATTCAGCAGCAGAGAATCAGCTCCAAAGGAGGCAGGGTCCTGGGCCTGGGAGGAGACAAGCGGTTGTAACTGTGATCTGGTAACAACAGAAGCATGTGGGGAATTCAGATCTCCTTCACCACAGCCAGGATCCTTCCCATAAGACCTGGACCCCGGGTCGCAAACTCTGCCTCTGCGCAGCACAGGTGGGCAAGGCAGATATTTCGCCAAGCAAGTGGCCATTCTTCCCCCTCGAGATTCAGCCTCTTTCATTTCCTCTAGGGTTTCTCTCTCTCGGGAGATCGCCATTTAAATAATTTTAAAGTATTTCCTCATTCGATTCTTATCACAAAATGAGCGATGTAGGTAAAGTGTATGGAGATTTGATAAAACAAACAAACAAACAAACACCCTTCACAGGCTCGCCGCGTCCTTGACTGCCACAGGAATAGCAGAGGCTGCAGCATCAGGGCATTTTCTTTTTTTTTTTTCTTTTCTTTTTAAATTATTTTAAATCTTTTCTAACACCTTTATTGTGGTGTGATCCCTGCACAGTAAACTACATACATATCAGACTTACAAGCTGATGAATTCCGATAGATGCATATACCTCTGAAGCCACCGCCACAATCAAGACAGCTAACATTTCCATCACTCCCCAAGAGGTGCACATTTCATGGGACATCACAGGACCCAGTTAATTGCAATCAGTGATGCCAATGAGCCCAAGTGAAGCACCGCGTAGGAAGCTGGCTCAACAGATTTCTCGGTGAGGATGCAGACCAATCCCTTCCCAATGTTTACCAAATTTATCTTGATCATATCTCCTGGAGACTCACCTTGTAGCCTTGGCAATTGTGATTCCTGGAAAACGGATAAAATGCTCCCAGCTGCATCCACCTTCTGCAGAGCTCTTCAGGAGCATCCAGTGTAAAGCCACATATGTCAGAACCCACCTGGAAGGACACGCAGACAGCGTGTGTGCCTCATCCCATCACCCCGCCACGCCCCGCTCTGCTTTCTACCAGAGACCTGCCAATGAACTCCGCTAAGCTCTTCCTGAGAAGGCTAACATGCATGAGCAAATCGATCTGTACTCTGTGTCCACTCCACTTCCAGGTGACTTCGAGTAAATGCCTTTCTGTGCCTCAGTTTCCTCATTTTGTTAAAGTGGGCACTAATTAGCTACCTGGGGTTTCAGGAAATGAGATAATGTAAGTAAGACACCTGACACACAATAGCTGTCTGATGATAGTAACTAGAAATACCGCTGATATTATTATTTTGATCACGGCACTCGCAGAATTAATTTTCCAAAGCCTAAATCTGACTGGGTCACTCATCTCTCAAAAATCAGGGTCTTCTGCTGCTCCTCCTTATCAGTGCCTCGAAACCTGGCTCCAACCCACCTTCCCAGCATCATTTCTCATTCCAATCCTACATGCTGATGCTTACAGACACACCGAATTTTCTCCCTTGCTGGTCTTGCTCAGGTCTACTTCTGCTGTAAAATGACCTCCCCCCATCGGTCTGATAAAATACACCCACTTTCAAGGTTAAACTCGAGTGCCATCTTTTCCATGAAGTTACTCTTGCTCCGTCGGTGACTCCCTTCGCTCCCTGTAACCTTGTCAGGGTTGCTGAGTCCCTTACTCAGGACCTCTTTAAACATTTACTTTCTATGTTCCTGCTGGCACTTTTATCCTAGCTTGCCATAATTATGTACATATAGAAACTTTGAGGGGGGAAGGAGGTGTTTCTGTTACTATATTTATGTTTCTCTCCACCCTCACCATGCATACCTAGCTCAACAGCCTAAACACAGTAGGAGCTCAATAAATAGACACACTGAACTTAACTAGAAGATGCCAAAGCCATCCCTATGGCGCTGGCATTATGTTTCCTCATCTGGGTTCTGGATACACAGACGTGCTCAGTATTCATCAACTGTATACTCAAGGATATGTGCACTTTTTCTGTCTGCATGTTATATTTTAGTAGGAAATGTTCCAGCGTTACCACTTCAAGGTTGTACTTTCTATCCTCATGAGGCGGTACAGGAAAGACCGTCACGGTATCAGGGCCAGACTGATGTGTACGAAGCACGTTATCTCTAGACGCTAAATCCCTGGGCCATGGAGGGCTGGAGAGGGGAGCCTCATCGTTTGGAAACTTTCTAGAATGAGACTTTCTGGGGACTGAGGTTCATAAGAGAGCTCAGGATGTGGACTCACCATCGGGATACCAAAAAGGTTGAACTCGAGCATGGCAGGGATGGACCACTGGAGGTCGCTCCAGGTGGCCGCATTGTCTCCTAACCAGTGGGCTGCAAACTTGCCAGACCCCGCAAAGGTAGAACGGGTTAAAATGAAGCTTCTCTTGTTGGGGAACACAGTCTTGACAGCTCTAGAAAAGGAGGGAGACTCAGGGAGTCAATGTGCAACCTTAGCGTGTCTCAGCCCGGGGGATGCAGCGACAACGCTGAGGAGCTCAAAAGTTAATACCCGCTTTTCTCTTCTAGTGTTCTCCCTTTCAGCTGCTGTTGGGGGCAGACTGCACCATTGAGTGTGTTTATATTTTGTTTTGCCTTGTTTTGCTTTAGTCGTTTTATGTACATCATTAACTCCATGATTTCCAAAAGTTTCAAAAGCAGTCCTGAAGCCAGCAACTAGAAGTATACAATCTTTACGGAATGAAGGTGAAATTTAGCTTTACATAGATGTGTATACATTAGTCTTACACATCTTGTGGTTTTGAACACACAAAAATGAATTTGTGAACAGCTTTTTGGAACTTGTATTGTTTTAAAGTAGAAACACTGGTCATATATTGTAATAAGAAAAGACATTTTAAAATTATATGTGTATGTGCATATTTTAAAGTAAATATCATCATCTTTTTTTAAATTAGAAGTCTATACATAGACCTAAAAACTTTTGTTCTATGATTTTTTTCAACAGCTTTCAAGAAGGCTAAAATTACACCCATGACTTTGCTAATGACCGAGTGTGGTTTTGGTCTGGCTTCTTGCTGCCACAGTTGCAGCAAGTAGAGTAAATTCTCAATACTTTTTCCTCGCTATAGAATTTTCATTCACATAAAGGTAGACACAGCACAGGAGAAGGGTATTGAGCCAGTACCTAAAACCCCAAAGCACATGAGGTCTACAAGTTACTCAACCCTCCATACTCTGGTCTACACAATATGGCGGAGGAAAATACATGGGCCTCGGACTCATGCAGAAACGAGTCCAAACTTTGCTTTTACAATTTATTAGCTGTTTGACCTTGGTCAAGTTACTTCTCTTTTTCTCTTCTAACCTTCCATTCATTCATTTATTCATTCATTCTTTCATTATATACATTCCACAAGTATTGATTGGAGCCCTTCTTCCCTATGTGCCCAGGATTTTCTTCCTTCACTCCATAATAACAATCATACTTATCTTGCCAAGTTCTTAAAAATAATACATTGGCATCTGGCATCTAGCAAGACTAACAGTCTGATCACGTGTTAGGTCCGTAGCAACAATGGCCTTACTCTGAGGTGGCAATGGCCATGGAGTAGCCATACAGACTGTGGACATCATAATGCTTGCCCCAGTGCTGCACTGCATCCATGCAGAGGCTCTTGCGGAACAGGTACCCATCCAGGACTCCTGGGACAAAGGAGGGGTCGGTCAATGAGAGCCTAGGATGTCCATATCCATCTTTAGGAGTTCAAAATACCAGCTGTGCATTGCCATTTTAATCAGATTAACCACCAGCACTTACTGGGAGTGAATGGGGGATAATTTAGATTGCTTGTGGAACATCCTGAAACTGAACCATCAACGAAGTTGGCAACTTCATTCATATCCTGCAAGACAAAGGGCAGAAACTATTAAGTAAAAGTAACGTGTCTTCATATGTTGTACTGATGATGTCTTTTTTTTTTTTTTGAGGACTCAGAAAAATAACTACAGGTATTTCTTTTTTTCAAGAGGTTCTTATGTAATGGTGAGAAACAGGTGTTCCTGCCCTGTCTTATCTACCCATTGAAGGTTTTTTGGAGAAGGGTCTTAAAATCCCTTCAAAATGATATACGTCTATCATTATTGAAAATGAAAAATTTCCAAAGACATCAGGTGAGAAAAATTTCCAATTTATATGATCCCCTATATATCAACTTATACATTCTCTAAATATCCAAATATAGCTATGAGTACACACACACACACGTAAATGCACACACATACGTAAGCATACGCAGGGAGGGTGAGAGCAAGCACGCACCAACAGCCCTGCAAGTGCGGGCTCCGGGAAGATGCAAACCAAAACACTGATGGTAGATGTCTTTGGCTGATATCATTTCAGGGCTCCTCATCTTTTTAGCTCTTCATACTGTTTGAATGTTCTACCTTCCTTCTATACACAGAAAAAAAGTTCAACCCTAGAGCTCCCTAAATTGTGCTGAACACCTGATGCTTTGCGTTTGTTTTCATTTGACACCATGTGAGACATCTGTCCTCACTGTGGCCTCAACTTTGTCATGCACCTGAGTACTTGGGCTCTGATCAGTTTGTCCAACACGTGCAGGTGGAAGAGCCCTGAACTGGCAACTGAACAATTCATGTACTTTGTGACAACGTAAGGAGTACATGATCTGTTTTCACTTCAGCTCATTCATTTGTAAAAGGAGAGCTAGACTCAGGAAAAAACCAGATTTACAAGTTCACTTCCACTTCTAACAACTGGCGTGTGTGTGTGTGTGTGTGTGTGTGTGTGTGTGTAATTGAAGTATAGTCAGTTTACAACGTTGCATCCAT